CGCCCAAACCCTGGAGGGCCCTTGGGCCACTCTCCTCCTTCAACAGCCAGGCCAGGAGGCATCAGCCTTGGGACTCCCGGCACCCTAGAGTCCCCCTCTCCCGCTGCCCACCCCATCCTCGAGCGCCGCGATGCGTGATGCGTCTCGCAGGCCAGGTCTCCATTCATTGTCCTCACCCAGAACCAGAGCTCCGAGGGCAGCGCTAGGTGGGTCCCTGGGCTCTATCCAGGTGGGAGAGCCTGTGGATGTCCTGCACATACTCCTTGCATGCATGGGCAAGTGTAAATATCCAATTGCTTCAAATACATTTTCACTTGTGCCCTAAACGATGTGGGAATGACTCGGGCAGTCCAGGCTTCTTGTCACTTGAGGACTTAGATTTTGTTATTGTTCAATTTCAATACCATTTTTTTCCTTAGATGTGAAACTTGGCATTTTGAAAAGCGTGTCATAGAAGTCTCAACTCCGGCAGCCCTTCATTCTTGAGCACAGCTGTGCAGAGGTAGGCGGTCAGCTGTGTCCTCCCTGTGGTTCTGCTTGGGCCTTCAATGTGTGCAGAAGCCTTGGTGCCTGCCTATGGGGTTCCTAGAGGCTTGGAGGGTCACCTGGTGACCTGGCCCCTCCCTGTCTCCCTGTCTCGGCCACCCTGACGGAGCAGCTGGACTCCACCTGCAGTCCCACCCTGACATCTGCCCTACCAAGCCCACAGCGATGGGGGCTTCGGTGGTTTGGGCCCTCTGAGCCCAAGCAAAATGAGCCTCTCCTCGTGAGAGCCACCGCAACGTTAGTTGGGGGCTGGGAGGCTGGCTGCATATTCCGTGCCGGGGCAATTGCTCCGGCCACACTTCGCACGGCTTGTTTCTGCTCTGTGTCCTGCACACTGGCCCTGTGCCCTAGGCTGGGGTCTGAAGCCACCTCCGACTCTCAGGGCTCCGGGCTTCTGTGCTTGGAGGCACTGCCGCCAGGAAAACCTGAATGCAGGAGAAGAGCCAGCTGCTGCCAGCTGTGGTATGGAGCAGGGTGGCAGCAGAGGACACAGGTTGTGGGACATGAGCCTGGAAGGTGGTGGCCAATGGCCAGCTCAGGTCCTGCAGGGTTGCAGCACCTCTGACCCCTCAGTGCCCAACCTTGTGTTAAACCCTCTGCTGCCATTCCCTCCTGCACCAGGTGCGCTCCCAAGGAGAAAACCAGGCTTCTGGGTCTGTGCAGCCCAGCCCTGAGTGTGAGGAGGCTCAAGTCCAGGAGGGCACAGTGCTTCAGTGGCTTCATGACAGGCACCGAGGGAGCAGACAGCGCATCCAGGTCGGCCTGAGGGGCAGACTTGCTTTGGCACTGGCTGTGGTTGGGGCTGGAATCCACACTTGCACATCTGGCCCTGTCCCCCTGCCCAGGGTCACAGGCTCAGGCTGTCTTCACGCAGGTCCAGCCTCTGTCTGGGTGGAGCTGGCAGCCTGGCGGTGTCCCCCAGAGCATTGGCACCCCACACCTCCCTGGTACATCTGGGTCTCAGGTACCGTCTCCTGCCGCTGTGACATCTGCTTGTCCACACTGAGAAGCTTCTCCCTCTTACCCAGGACTCTTCATGAGAAGCTCAGCACCCTGAGCAGAGCCCTGCCCTCCCCCTGCTCAGGGACCTCCGCAGGCGACACCACTTCCTTCTTCCCACTGTGGCCATCCCTTGGTCGAGAGGAGGCTCCAGGTCACAGAGCTCTCTCCATGGCCCAACAGTGGCTTTGGCACCTGCTGGAGGCATCTGTGCACAGGTGTTCCTGAGGTGCAGCCTTACACGGTGCCCATGTCGCCAGCAAACACACGTGAAGATGCTGGTGGGGCACCCAGGCAGCTGGGCACTCTGAGCTCGGGGAGCTGGGAGTGATTCCAGGACTACGAGGGCAGGTGTCCATGAGGAATCCTGTGTGGCCCATCTGCACCTGAGCAAGGGGCACAGGCAGTGCCCCCTGGTCTCCTGTGGTGTCTTTGTGAGGAGGTATTTCTAACTTCAGTCCTTCCCTTCTGTGTGTGGAGAATGGTTTTCGCTGACTCAGAGTCAGGGGTGTCGGTTGCCCATGGTTCTGCAGAGCAGCAGTGTGAAAGCTTCCTGTGGCCGAGTCTATTGCTTCTCTTTGTGGCTTTTGGGTGAGGAGATCTGGGGAGAATCACCCACAGCGCTCTTCCTCCTCTCTACCAAGGGGACCAGGCGAGGCCCACAGTCAAACTGGAGAGGTGAAATCAGATCTGGGACCAATGAACACTGGGTGGGAGGAGCTGCCCTGGGACCACTGGCACAGCGCCCGTCCTGCAGACTGTGCCAGAGGACGCTGGACAGGGGAGAGTGGAGATGAAGCCTTTGCCCTCAGAAAGGTGTTCAGCTTCTCTGCAGCCTTAGAGCTCGGCCAGGGCGTCACTCGCATGTCAGGGTATCCTTGTGCTGTCCTGGTTTTGGCTGTGACAACGTGGCCCTGAGGTAGAGCTGGGGCAGCAGGACCTCACCTCCCAAGTGTGTGATGCTGGCAGGAATGGTGGCTTTCCAGGGGTGCACTGCTTACCCCTGTGCTGGGTAAGAAGTCACCCCAAGGCTCAGGGACTGTGCGTTTAGCTTGCAGTTCTGCAGCTCAGTTATTTGGGCCAAGTCTGGCAGGGTGTGACTGGGTTTGCTCATAGCTGTGGTGCACTGCTGATCTGCAGTTAGTTGGTGGGTCAGTTGGGGTCTGCCTGGCTCTTCTAGGCAGCACGGCTCTCACACCCTGCTCCTTGCTGATGCATCCTTTGTCACAGCCGGCCACAAGGTCATCCCTGGCCCGGGGCCAGTGAAATTAATCCTCTCCTTGACCAGAGGAGGTACCAGTCATCCACCTCTGAGGTGCAGCAGCACCCTGCTCCCACCTGCTCCCCACAGAGCTCTCCATGCCCTCTTGCCCGACAGAGCTCAACCCTTTGAATAGGAGAGTCTAAAGCAGCCAGAAGGGCGTTTGGGATCCACAGCTGAAGCTGACTGCTTTGATGCCAGAAGTAATCACAGCACAGACCCTGGTTGGGTCTGAGGCCATGAGTGTGACAGGCACCTCCAGCAGGGGGAAGCAGTTGCCTGGGTGACCACCTGGCGCACCTGGCCTGAAGAGCCCAGGGAAGGTGCAGAGACCTGGTGATGAGACCCAGTGTGTGAGCACCTAGAGCCCAGGACCCTGGGCTGGATTGGCTGCCAAGCAGCACCATGGAGTCTGGAAACAGGGACACAGTCAGCGTCTCAAACCCTGAGCTCAAGGCACGGTCAGGGAGTGAGAGGGTTCTGCAATCAGTGGAGAAGCTTCTTTGCTTCAGGCTGCTGAGCTGCTGTGGCCCAGAGCTGGATGCAGAGACTATATCGGGAGTCTGCAGCAGAGCAGCGTGGATTAAGCTTCCACCCACCTCTAGGTCTCCTAAGAGACAGTGCACTCACTGGGAGACTCAGAGCCCAGCATGCGCCAGGAGAGAGGTGGTCCGAGCGCCACAGTAATCATGCCCAGCAGGAGTGGCCCCTCCTAGACACTGGCTGCCCGGGCTTGTTTGAAGACCTTGCTCTGACCTCACCTGATGTGGTTACTTTGCAAGCAGGTGCCGATTCTCATCAGGCTTCACCACCGCTGCCCTGTACTGCCTGCAAACCTGCAATTAGAGTCAGATCTCAGCAGGCCCCGGGGGTAAGTACAAACCTCACTTGGAAAGAGAAGGCTTATACATCAAACGCTTTGCAAGCTTTGTCCTTACAGTGCTGGGAGGCTGGGGTGTGTGGGTTGGCTCCCACCAGCACTGGGCCAGGGTGGGTAGGGCCACGCATGCAGAGGGACCAAGCGTAGCAAGCTATGTGTGTGCACACACAAGACGTGTAGAGGTCAGTATTTTTAGCTCGAAGGGCTGGAAATGTTGCTTGCTTTCTTCTAGGTTGGTGGAAACCTGAATGTGACAGTCGCCTGTCGGCTGAAGCTGTGTTGTGATGCTGGGCCGGCCCAGTGTGAGGGAGGGAAGTCAAAGAGGGGGCACTCGTTTTGGCTTGTCCCCAAGAAGACCCTGCTGACACCACACAGCACAGCCTCGAGAAACCATCAGAGAGGAAAGCGCTGCTCCACCGACTGCTGTGTGCGCCCTCTCCAGACAGGGTGAGGACAGGTGCTGCAGGGGGGAGGTGGTAGCCCCCGAGGGCTCTTGTTCTTAGGCTGGGGGGCTGTGCCCTGAGAAGGGCCTGGCATGGTTCTCCCGGGCCCTCTGGGTCCTCAGCTCTGGCACTCACTCTGGTCTCTCTCGCTGGCACACACCACTACCACCACACTGTCTGCATGGTGCAACCCAAGGGCGCCTCCCCAAGGCCAGATCAATGGTGCCCTCATCTTGAACTTCCAGCCTCCAAAACTGGAGCAAAAGAAGCTTTTCTCTATAAAGGGCCTGGTCTTGAGGACGTTTTTTAGTAACAGAAAATGGATGGATACCTAGGGAGAGGCTGATACTGAAGTGGGGTCTCTGGCTGCGAAGGGGCATAGTGGGCAGTTTGCTCTTTAAAGGTCAGAGAGGGGCTGGGGATTTAGCTCAGTGGCAAAGTGCCTGCCTGGCAAGCACAAGGTTGTGAGTTCGGTTCCCGGTACTGGAAAAAAACAAAAAACAAAAAACAAAAACAAAAACAAATAAAGGTCAGAGAGTAAGAACAGAAGCCCTGAAAGGATCTAAAACCAAAAAACGACTGGAACTAATAAGAAAATCTAAGGGCTAGTTCCTTGGGGGCAAAATAAAAACTAAATAGAGATAATTAGAAAAACTAAGCAAGGAAAGGAGAAAGTTAAAATACACAAAAGAAATGCCTGTAATCCCAGTGCTTGGGAGGTTGAGGCAGGGCGATCACCATGAGTTGGAGGCCAGCCCGGGCTACATAGTGAAACCCTGTCTCAAAAAATAACAGTATGGGCTGGGGATATAGCTCAGCGGTATAGCGCCTGCCTGGTAAGCTCAAGGTTCTGAGTTTGATTCCTGGCACCAAATATATACACAAAAGAAGAAAATAATCATAGATATAGGAACCAGTTAATTTTAAGAGAACACTTTGAATGCCAAGCAAATAAACAAAGCCTGGTTCAAACAGATAGTTTTCTGGAAACATATTATAATTAATAATCATAATTATGTTACAACAGATGCCTGACGAGTAAGGCAAACCACTTTCCAAGAGCAATCCCCACAAAAACCGTCAGACCTGGACAGTTCCTCAAGAACATCATGCACTTTAAGGAAAGGATTAATTGTAACACTGCAGAAAGTATCCAGGAATATGGGGAAATATGGAAATTTTCCTATTTTAAAGTATTTATTGGACAGTAGGGGTAAGAAAACTCTCAAAATATAGCACAATAACGTAATATTGCATACAGATCTGATTAACATCAATACAGAAATATTAAATAAAATATTAGTAAATAGAGCATTTATTAAATTAAAAACCACTCAGAACAAGTGGGGTTTACTTTTGGAACCTAAGATGGTTCATTAATAGAAAATATTTTAATATAATTCATCATATTAAAAAATCACAAGGTAGAAGTCACATTACTTTCTCTTTGGTTGCTTAAAGGGACATTTGGTAAAAATTTCACAGACATGTTGCTTAGCTGAGGTAAAATTTATACGCAGTCAAATGACAGAACTTGAAAGGTCTTTACACAACGTCTGCGAGGAGTAGGAAGACTGACAGGAAATGCTGAATCTGTCCTGAGCCGCTGCAAGGCAGGCTGCTGGCCAGGTGCCCCGCTGCCTGAGCGCTGCCAGGAACAGTTTCCGCACAAGAGGCTCCTCCTGTGCATCAGAGCACAACTGTCACAAGAACTGGACCTGCTAGGTGGCTGCCCTCAAACCCTCAACCCCATCCACGTCCTGTCAATTTTCTGAATATTGTCCTCCAGTGAGAGAGTCAGGCCGGGATCACACATGAAATTCAGCGTCTCTCTCTCTCTCTTGAGTCTTGGACCCATTAATCAGGATATGTCACCTTGATGGGTTAAGAGGCACATAGCAGATTAGTGGTGCACATGGTAGGGAGTGTCCAGTGGGTCACAGGGGTGGGACTGGGTACTCTCTGTGGCCCCAGCTCCTTCCTCTCTGACCCTGCTCTCCTGCTGTGCTCCACTATACCATTCCATCATGAGGCTTCTACTGTGTTTGTTTTTTTGAGACAGTGTCTCACTATGTAATTCAGGCTGGACTTACATGCACTACATAGCCCAGGCTGGCCTCAAACTTGTGATAACCCTCCTGCCTCACCCTAGTGAGTGCTGGGATTATAGGTGTGTACCTCCATACCCAGCCTGATGCTTCTGCCTTGGAACGCAGTTTACCATGGACTGAATAGCATGAAACCTTAAACCAGATTAAACCTCTCCTCCTTTAAGTTATGAGCATTGGGTACTGCTTCTCAGCAATGGGAAAATTACCTCATGCATATCTCCTTAAGTCTAGACAAGTTCGGGCTGGGGATTTAGCTCAGCGGCAAAAGCGCCTGCCTGGCAAGCGCAAGGTCGTGAGTTCTGTTCCCGGTACCGGAGAAAAACCAAAAAAAAAAAAGTCTAGACAAGTTCATCAGTATTTCTTTGGCTTTTGTGTCCTTAGCACTTTTGAAAATCACAGCCCAGTTACTCTGTAGAAGGCATCTCAATGTGGGATTTTCTGATGTTTCTTGTTGTTAGAGCAGGATGTATGTCTTTGTCAACGTATCTCAGATGCAATGCTGGATTTTCAGTGCACCCACCAGGGGTACAAAAATGTGACACACCCCACTGTGGAAGAGCCCACTCCTGTCACTTTGGGGGATGTGAACTTGCTCTTTTCTCCAGTTGTAATTGTTGAGGATTTTGCGAGGAGATGTTTTGAGACCATGTAAACATCTTATTCCTCAATGAACATGTACTGAATTAATAAATATAAGTATGGATGCATGAATTCTTATTTATTCAGTGTTTTCTAGTGGTTGCTGTCATTATTTACTTTGCAGCTCAACTCACCCTGTGTGTGGCCATTGGCCCCGTGAGGTTGGCTCCTGTATGCTGTTGACAGGCTCCCCTCTGTCTTCAAGTACATCCTTATTCTGTAACTGAGGAGACATTTGGCTCCTGGTACATGGTCCCAGCCTGGTCACTGCCATTTCTCCGGGGCTTCTGGTCTGTTCCAGCTCTGGCATGCATTCTAGAGAAAGACAGTGCATGGGCGTACATAGTTTATGTGCCGGTTCCGTGCACTTTGACCAGTGTAAACACCCTGTAACCAACAACTCCACTGAAATAAAGGACATCACCCAGAAAGGTGCTCTCTCCCCTGAAGATTAGTCCTACTGCCATGGGCAACCACTGTTTTGAAACTTCTCGCCCTAGATTAGTTTAGTCTGTAAGTCCATGAGTTCAGTGAGTTCTTCATTTTAACAGAGCATAAAGTACATGTGCTTGTGTGTCTGGCATTTTTCCTCAAGCAATCTTTTTTATGGATTCAAACTAAACCAAAATTAGCATTTCATTGTGGGTCTCAACCACAACTGCACAAGCACAAATACAGCGATTTCATGTTCCTTAGTTTTGGTCTACAGCTTTTCACTCTCATGTGCCCAGGTGTGATTCTCTCTGTCTGGGTATATTAAGTGTACTGAAGCTGTAGTTTGTTTTTCACCAAATTTGGAGAATTTTTAGCTATTTTTTAATCAAAAATATATTTCTACATATGTGAGTCCATAAGTTCAATTCCTAGCACTACAAAAAACAAAACAAAACAAAACAAATCAAAACAAACCACCTAAAACCAAACTACCCTATTCAATCTCCCTCTCGTCCTTGAAATCTGATTACACATATGTTGGACGGCTTGGTATGGCCCCAAAAGTCTTTAGCCTCTGATGAACTTTTTTCAACATTCTTTCTATTCTCCAGTTTTCTTACTTAAAAATTGCTACCAACTTTTTATTAGCAAAAAAGTGAAATAAACATGTTTATGCCTTCCAAAAGCTTGTTCATGTGAAGAGGCCATACTTTACATGAGCAAAGACAATCCCAAAACTGCCTCATAAGAACCACAGTAAAAACTGGGCATGGTGGCCCATGCCTATAATCCCAGCACTTGGGAAGCTGAGGCAGGAAAATTTCCTTGAGTTTGAGGCCAGCCTGAACTACATGGTGAAACCCTGTCTCAAAAAACAAAACAAATAAACAAAAAACTTTTTTAAAAAAAAGGAACCATGGTAAAAACCCCAACAATGCAGGAGATTCATTTATTGCAATGGCCCCATCAACCACAGAACACTTATATGATATAAAAAATTAAACTTACCTACTTATTAGATATGCATTTCAGCTGGGTGTAGCAGGGCACACCAGTAATGTAAGCACTCAGGAGGCTGAGGCAGAAGGATCGCTGTGAGTTTGAGGCCAGCCTGGCTACCTAGTGAGCCATGCTTCAAAAAACCAAAAGGAAAAAAAAAAGAAAAGAAAAAAATGCATTTCAAATAACCCATGGATCCAATATACTTCGAGATGCATAGAGAGTTTTTTATTAAATAATGTAAGAAAAAACTACCTGTTAAATTCTAGTACTATTACTTACAGAGGACAGCAGTGCTCAAAGTTTTGGTTAACAATGAACCCTGGATTTGAGGCTGATCCCACAACGTTATAAAGTAGCTAAAAAACTTAGTAAGTGCACTGCTGTAAAAGATGCAAGTGAAAAGAGATGGCAGAAGAAAAACAACCCCCAAGAAAATTCGGTTAAGGAGATGGAGGGTGTGATACTGACTGTGCTGTCAACTCGAGTGAGAAATGCCCATCTGGTTGGATCTGCACAGGTCTGGGTGGGCCCGGCTGAGGGAGTTACCCAAGATGCAAGCCCTACCGTGGGTGTGGGTGGCTCCACCCAATAGGCTGGAAGCCTGGATGGGATAAAGTGGAAAGAAGGAAGTCTCACTTCTTTGGAGGAGCTCTGTCTTCCCTGTCAACTTTGGACGTCTGTCTCCAGGTTTCCAGTGCAGACTCTTTGCTTTCTGGATACAGACTCATGCGGGGCTCTGCGGTGAGTGTCAGGGCTTTGACTTCGCCTGGATCCTCTGGATCTCCAGCGTGCACACTGCCCTTTCACACTCGTCCACATCTGACTTGAAGGTGGCCACTGTAAGCTTCCCTTGTAAACTCTTTATATATCATATAGGTAGATATAGATAGAACTACCCATATATGTATCTATCTATACCTATCTATCCATATATATATATATATATATAGAGAGAGAGAGAGAGAGAGAGAGAGAGGTGGGAGAGGTCTATTAAATCTGTCCCTCTAGTGAACCCTAACTGATACCGAGGGGCTTTGTAGACTCGACAACGGGATTCCTTACCAGTTGAAACCACAGAGGTCAGCACTGAAAAGTTTTCACTAACAGAGGGGAAAGCTTATGTGCTTTGTCTGCTTGCAAGCGACACATGAAGACTAACAGAAGCACTCTATGCCGACTCCTGTGGTCCCTCAAGAGCCGTGGGTGGCCCCTGGGGGGCTCCAGAGGAAAGCACTGGCTCAGTGCTGCAGAGCCACGGTGTCCTGCCCCTGGGACTCCGCGGTGGGACAGAGCTAGGACGGAGGACAGTGATACCAATGACCCAAATCCTGCATGAGCCTTGTTTTCTGTGTGTGCTTTCATCTGAATTTAAATAGAAGAGCTGAATGAGAAAAAAAAAAATAGGAAAAGGATTCTAGAATAAGGACATAAAGAAAATATTTTAATGCAGCTGTATAATACATTTGTGTTTTAAGATGTTTTATTGCAAAGGAGGCAAAATGATTAAAAACCACATTTAAAAATTACTGTAGGCCAAGGCTGATATTTTGCGGCTATGAAACGTTTGCTTGTGAACTCCGCAGACTGAAACTGCACAGTGTCCGGCCTGATGCACACGCTCGCCTTCCGTCGCCCAAGCGGCATCTGCTCTTGCAGGCTGCACTCTCCGGGGCTCTAGGGCCCTGCATTGTGCCCTTCATGCCACAGGCTTACAGTACCTTTTCTGTGCATGCATGTGTTTACACGCACAAGATGCAGCTTCTGTTCCTGCTGCCGCCAGCCCTCTACACGGTAACACTACCCAGGGCTGCTGCCTGAAAACACCGGGTGTGCCCCAGAGCCCAGGCCCAGAGCATGCTGTGCCATCTGGGTTTGTGTATGTACACCACAGTCTCCAGACAACACCACAACGGCTGACACTGCTCCAGCTTTGCTCACCGATACTTCCGCAGCACCCTGCTTGTAGCCTAGTGTACCCAGAGTTTGTCTTTCTCCCCCCACCTTTTTCTTTTTTTTGCTTTACTGGCTATCAAATCCAGATACATCCCAGCTTTTTTTCTTTTTTCTTTTGAGACAAGGTACCCAGGCTGGCCTCGAACTTGTCATCCTCCTGCTCAGCCTCCATAGTAGCTGGGATTTCCGGTGTGTGGCACATACTTCACTGTTTTCTTTTTGTAAAGATGGCATTTAAATACCAGTAGATCACCTTGATCAGGTCAGGCTTGGTATTTTTTCCATGTTTGGCTTTTTATGACAAAGTAATGTTTATCCTGAATTATAAAGTGAAAGAAATTATACATTGCAAAATAGCACCTGCAGTACCATTTCTTGCTTGTAAAGATTTTACAATGGATATGCAGACACAGCATGCACAAGCAGGGAGTGGAGTGATTCTCGGCTGGGGCGAGTCGGATTCTCCTCCTCTCTGGGTCTTCTGTTGTGTATCATGGAGCTGCTCGTAGCTGCCCTCAGTTTTCTGTTTTTAAACTTTGCATTAGTGTGGAAAGAACACTTGACATGGGTTCTGCCTTCCTTACAGATTCTTAGGTCTACAGCACGGCATTGTTAACGTGGACACAATGTTGTATAGGAGATTTCTGCAACTGATTCATCCTGTGCACTTGAGACCGTGGGCCGGGTGGGCAGCAGAGCCCTCCTCCGCTCCCGGGCAGCGGCGATCCGGTGAGTTGGCGCCCGGCTGTGTGGACCGCATCGCGACTTCCCGTCTGGGCCTGGCCTTCCTTCCTGCTCGCCCTGCAGCTCCGGGGCTTTGTTCTCCTCTGTCTTCCTTTGTGTTTCATTATATTCTTGCATTGTTACCCTTTGATTTCTTTCTTTTTCTTTTGTGCAGCTTTCTATAGGTATTTTATTTGTGGTTACTGTGAGGCTTACAGAAAATACCTTATAATTAGAACAGCCTGTTTTAAGCTGCTCACAATTTAAATTCCATCACAAACAAGTCTACAGCACTCCCTCCACCTCATGCATCGATGTCAACACTTACATCCATTCGCCCTGTGCTCTCACGGAAACACTTGTGTTAGTTGCTTCTAATATACTTTGACCTTTATACCAGCCTTGCCTCCCTGCACAGGGCTCCACCTCCGGCGTTCGTGGCCCACTCCCCACCCCAGCAGGTTTTGTGCCGTCTGAGGCCCTCATGTTTAGTGTCTTCCTCTGTGTGTGTATGCGCGCGAGCACGTGTGTGTGTGTGTGTGTGTGTGTGTGTGTGTGTGTGTGTGTGTGTAGTGTTCTTGCACCCAGCTGAAGAACCCCCGGGGGCACTTCTGACCCGGTGGGTCTCCTGGTGACAACTCCACCAGCTGTTTGTCTGGGAAAATCTTATCTTGTCTTCATTTCTGAAGGACAGTTTTACTAAGTACAATATTCTTGGTTGGTATATTTTTTTCAACATGTCATCCCACTTCCTTTCGGTCTCCAAAGTTTCCGCCAAAAAATGAACTCACAATTTTATAGTGGTTCACTTATACAGAGTGTCATTTTCTTGTACTGTTTTAAAAATTCTCTGTCTCTGTCTCTATCTCTCTATCTCTTGTCTCTCTGTCTCTGTGTCTCTCTCTGTGTCTCTGTCTCTGTCTCTGTCTCTCTCTCTCTTTTCCTGTGGTGCTAATGCTGGGGATGAACCCAGGACCCCTGCACATGCTAAGCCAGAGCTCTGCCTCTGAACTACACTCCAGCCCCGAGATTCTCTTGGTCTTGACCTTTGACAAGCTGGTTGTGGTGTCTTGGTGTGGGTTTCTGAGGGTTTATCTTACTCCAGATCCTTTGGGTTCCTATCTGGATATCCACTTCCTCCCCCGGGTTTGCGAAGTTTTTACTGGGCGTCTCTGCATGTGCGCTCTCGGCCCTTCCTGTGTCCTCAGAGACCCCTGAGCAATGTGGCCTGCGTGACGGTGCCCCTCGCCTCTTTCCACTTTTTCCCTGTTCTCGAGACCCGCCTGGTCTGCTGACCCCTCCTGCTCCTCTGGTCTGCTGTAAGGTTCTACCTCAGTTATTACGTCCCTCAGCCCTTGGGTTCTGTGCAGTGCTCTAGAATATTCTCTACCTCCTTGTACAGTTTCTTTGCTCATGCACTGTTCTCCTGATCTTGATGGGCAACTTGATAACGGCTCTGTACCATGAGGCTGTTTCTAGACATTTCTCTTGTTCCTTTGTATGGAGCATATTTCTGCGTTTCTTCATTTTTCTCTATCTCAGCACTAGCGCTGGGGTGTCAGACACAGCAGGCTTTTCTCCCAGTTCTCACAGAGGAGGCCGGTGAGGGCACCCAGGGGCCTCCTCATCCCTATCGGTCCAACCCCTGCCCTTTGGTCTCAGCAGCCCGGATCTCTAAGGTTCGCTAGGTCTTGCCACCCTGTAGCAAGATGGAGCAGGTCCCAGGCAGCCCCCAGCGTGGACTGTTGGGCATGGGGTCCAGGCCTTTCCTGTCTCACGGAGAAGCTGAAGTCTCAGCTGCCCACCTCTGTCCTCACTGCCCAGGCACTGGATCGATCCAGGCGGCGTCCACACTCAGGCTAAGTCCTCGTGGAGGGCCCTGGGAAGGCTGGGTGAAGACGTAGCCCCTCCTTCCTGCCCCGGAGGCTGGGAGCTGGGGCTTCCTTTGGTCTTGACTCTGGGCAGACAGCGATGAGGACAGGAGGCACCTGGGGCATTCCTGTTGCTCAGTGGGGTGGCATCAGCCTCCCCTGTCCTCTTTCCTTACACAGTCTGTGGGTTTTCCTGGGCTGAGATTCCTGGGGAGCAGGACCTGGCTGCCAGCCATACCATCTTGCTGACACCTCCCGGGCTTGGTTCTTTGCTTCTGAGGCTGGGTCTGAGCTCTACTTTTGGATCCAGGCTTTGACCCTTGGTCTGTGGTTCGACTCTCATTTCTGGCAAAGCCACTCTGCTCCAGCCATCAGGACTGCCTTGTGATCTGGCCAAGATTCAGAGGGGCTCAGCCAGTGTCTGGAGCCCATGCTGGTCCTGTACGCCATTCCTCATGGCCCTTGGCCCCAGCACACTGTGGTCGCTGTAGTCACCACCGGTGCCTCCGACTCTGCTTGGCTTCCTGTGCCTTCCTGGAGGAAAATGGAAGTAGAAGGCAGGGACACAGGGAACAACCCCCACATGCCTCTCAAGGACCAGGGCTGCTCCAGCTCCTGCAGCAATCACCCTGCACATCTGCCCAGCTGCCTGGTGGCCTCAGGTAGAGGTTGGAGGGGTCCAGCCACTCTGCAGTGCCCAGAACAGAAGCAAGTTCTTGACCAAACCTGCCCGACCTGACGCCTCACTTCTGCATTCACCCAAAGCCCGCACAGCCAGTGGTGCTGACTCCAGGCCACATTGGATAAAACCTCGAGGTGGCCTCTTCTGTCCTCACTACCATTTAATATTTATGCAACTGGGAAAAGAAAAGAAATGAGGCTCCAAAATGCAATATTGTGCTTTGCAGATGATGTGATTAAATCCCTGGAAAGTCTGAGAGGATCAATTTAAATTCTATCACAAACACAATTTCAGTTCCATAGCTGGGACTAAAGTAATGTGACCACCGACATTCATACAAAAATCAATATAGTACCAGGAATGGTGATGAGAAAAAGCCTCCATTTACCTTCACAGTGAGAAGTTACAAATCTTAGGAACAAACCTAACCAGAGAAGCTCAAGGCCCAAGCATCTCTACAAGACCACCCAGGCCTGGAGAGCTGAGGCAGGGGAGATGCGACCAGCCCTGAGGAGACAGTGAGGGTGACACTTCCAAGGACTCAGACAGTCCACAAAGCCAGAACACAGGAAGCAGCTTGGAGGGCAGCAGGGCTGGCGACACAAGCCCTGTGCTGGCACCACCATCAACACAAATGAGGCAGCACTCAGGGCTGGGATACAGGAAGGTCACAGCCATGGCTCAACGGAACCAAGGTGCTAAGGAGACAGTGCAGATCCTCCAAGACACTGCACATGCTTTTGCAGGTTAGGAATGTCTGGGCTCAGAGCGGACGGAAACCTAGCCTAGTGCAACATCAGCACAAGGTTCTGTGTCCCTCCCCTAGGCCCAAAGAAGCAGACACCTGTCCTAGTCTCTTCTGCATGGCTCTTTGGGGCTCCCTGCTTTCCTCCCCAAAGCCATGGCAATGTGGTGAGTGGCAAGGACAGGGGGAGGAGCGGTGCCCACAGTCTGCAGGGCAGGTGGCCCTGCACACTGGCCAGACCCTGCCAGGCAGCTGAAGAGGGCTTGGTGTCCTGGGCTCTGCATGCAGACAGGCCGGCAAAAAGGAGGGTGGGATTCTGGCACCAGGCCACCTTAGGGAGGGCAGATGGACACCTGGGGATGGGAACCTGCGTCCTGGAGGGGACAGCTATCTGCAGAGGAAGGGGGCATTTTTTTCTGTACTGTGAATTCAATACATGTACAAGAAGTAAATAAAACCTTCAGGAAAGAGACCAGAGGGGAAAAAAGTAGGGCTTTAAAAATGCTACATTAAAAAAAAAAAAAAAAGCCACATTCAGAAACTTTCCTTAAGAAAGTTCTAAACCTTTGGGTTAAAGAAGAATCTATAAGGTAAATTACAAAATGCATGGAATTTAACCAGCATGAAATCTCTGCCTGCTAAAATGTGTGGGACATGTTCAGAACAACGTTGGTGAGTTACATAGTTTGACTGTATTTATCTGAAAATAAGAAAAAATTAAAAACAAATCCACAGAGAGCATCAAAACAGTGAATTAACTGAGAAAATAAAGAAGGAAGAAAATAATGGACATAAACTAAGGGAGAACATAAGGTAAAAACAAATGCTGAATCTGGGCGTGGTGGCGCATGCCCATAATCCTAGCACTCGGGAGGCTGAGGCAGGAGGATGCTTGCGAGTTTGAGACCAGCCTGCACTACATACATGAGTTCAAAGCCAGTCTGAACTGCATAGTGGGACCCTGTCTCAAAAAGACAAAAAAAAATTAAAAGTATACGCCAATATAGTCAGGTGTAATGCATACCTATAATCCCAGCTACCTGGGAGGCTAAGGTAGGAGCACCATCCATTTAAGCCCTGCCTAAGAAACTTAGTGAGATTTTCTAATAACAAAAAAAGGTTTTGCTGCAGCACTAGGGACTAAATGACTGAATCCAGGGCCTTTGCATTGAGCTACGTTCCCATCCCATTTTATTTTTATTTAAGACAGGATCTCCCTAAGTCACTAAGTAACCCAGGTAGTGCTTGAATTTGTTATTCTCCTGCCTTAGCCTCTGAGAGTGCTTGGATTACAAGTGTGTGCCACCAGGTCCCGCTAAGACGGTTGTGTTGAACAAGATTTTTTTTTTGGTGTCGGGAATCAAACTCAGGACCTTGCGACTGCCAGGCAGGCACTGTGCCACTGAGCTGTATCACTGGCCCCTTGAACATGAATTTTAAAAACTCTTGATGTGTTAGCTAACTAAAACCCAACATGATGGTAAAAGGTCACGTAAGTTCATCTCAGTTAAAAGGGGGAGAATTCAAATCAGAAATTTTAACAGCAATTTACCCGGCTGGAGAAGAAAAATAACACAGTATCATATGGGTGTAGAATAAAGTATTTGATGACATTTAACTCATATCCATGTAACAAAAACACAGAGAATAAGAACCTAGGGCATTTTCATGACTTGGGCAGTGGCCAGGGCTGCGGAAGCAACCTCCTGACCCTGGAGAAGGAAGGAGAGACAAGCTCGGCCAGGCCCAGGTCCTGAAGTGCTCTGCCAGTCCTGGCCAGCTGCACAGACAAGAAGTCAGGCAGTGGGGGACGGCACTTATTACTGCTTTTGGCCATCACGACAACTTACACTGGAGTCACAAACTCATGCACAGATGAACTATTTTAACACTACGCAGAGACCAGCAAGGTTGCCCGATAAACAGGTTAACAGCATTCCTTTAAGTCACACACGATGCACTACATGTAATACATGGCTATATATTTATTGGGAAATCATATGTACTTTATGTACATAGTGAGAAGAGGTGTTGTTTTCGAAAAGAACAAAAATTATAAAATATTCAGGCATTCAGCTTGGAATCCACAAGGCTTTCATGGGAAGAAACAAAACAAGCACCTCCCTGCAGGCCCTGACAGAGGCAGGAGGTGCCCGCATCTTCCTGTGTGTGGATGGGGGCCAGGGTGCGAGGGCGCTTGGCCCTGCATGCTGCCTTCTGCTGCCCACATTCCTGCGGCTTCGCAGGCCTGGAAGCGGTGCTGGCCGTAGCCCTCTGGAGCATGAGGGCCCCAGCCCCTCTGTGCCTTTCAGCGTCTGACCCCAGTGGGCCTCAGCACCTTGGCTGGCCGAGGGCCTCCTTCCCCACATCATGAAGCTCTGGGACCCGGCTCCCTCACAGACTTGGGGTGCAGAGGGCAGGCCACCCTGGTCCCCTATCCCCAGACTCCATCACAGGTCAGCGGCCGTACTGGTCCCCGCTCAGCCCTCCACGGGCATCAAGCGGAGACCAAGACTCCCGCCTGGGCTCTCCCAGCCCTCCCTCAGGTGGGAGTGCCAGGGCACGCCTGCCACCTGGCTCAGCAGAGCAGCTTCCTGTGCACGTGTGTATGCATGTGTGTGCGTGTGTCTGTGATGGGTGAGGGGCTGGGAATGAAGACTCAGTCCCTACCTGAGCCAGGATAGGAGGGGATGGCTGAGCTTTAGGGGGGCTGGAAGGGGCAGGCCCAGAGCCCCCCTGCCCTCAGCTACCCAGCCCTGTGGGACACCATGCCAGTCACTCAACTTGTCTGGGTACTATGCCCAGCACAGGCCCTGGTCGGCGGCAGCCCTGCTCTGCAGGCCTCTGGTGAGAGCTCTCCCTGCCATAGTCAGGGACACAGGACCTCCTGGCCTGCACTAGGTCTGGAGCTTGGAGATGTTGGGAGCCTGGGGCGAGCTAGGCTCAGGGCAGAGAGGAGCTGCAAGGAGGCTCATGCTGGAGGCACACAGGGCACTGGGCAGAGGGGCAGCCAGCTGAGGGACAGGGTGTGTGGAGGCGGAAACCTTGCGTTCCAGCATGGGAAGACCCGGAGGGGCAGGTGCAAGGGTGGGCCGGTGGAGATGAGCCCAGGGAGGCTGGGCCACAGTGGAGCTCCGGTTTGATATGCGGCAGCTGGGGGCTGTGCCGGGCTCTGCAGCAAGGAGAGGTGGGTGGGAGTGTGGGAAGCTTCCCCGGGGCATGTGGGGAAAAGGTGAAGTGGGACCCGGAGTGTGGCGGGAGGGCAGGGGGACAGGCGAGGACGGGTGGGTGCACAGAGTGGACAGTTGTTTGGGTGGCTGACAGGATGGAGGAGGTGGGGGGCCCCGTCCTGAGCTCAAGGAAAGGAGGGCTCTGGTAAAGGGGCCCTGGAAAGATGGGGGTTGCAGTGCAGGCAGGCAGCGTCTGGAGGCCCTGGAGAGCCCTAACTAGTGCTTAGGGCTGGGGATGCAGGTGTGAGAGCCTGGGCCCTGTGAGGAGGCCCAGCAGGGCAGGGAGGGCGCAGGAAGAGAAGGGCCTGCAGCGAGGAGCAGTGCACAGAGGCAGAGTGGGGGGCGTCCAGAGGGTGGGAGTGTCCATGGCCACACTGGGTTGGCCTGGTGGCCCAGGCCCAGGGCAGGCAAGGAAGCCAGGGACTTCCACCTCCGGCTCCCCTGGGTCTGCCAGCTGCCTGGGGCACCTCGTGCTGCTCTGGGAAAGGGCTCACTCATCCCTGGGATTCGGGAGAGGCTGGGCTCAGTAGCGAGGCCAGAGCCACGTTCATACCCGCACCTCCCTCCCGGCCTGAGGGTGGACTGTGGGGCACGGCACCTGTCTGGATCCACCAGAAGCGGGCAAACACCACCAGGTTCTGGCTCAGCACACGGACAGGAGTCAAGAGAAACCGAAAGAACCACAAAAGGACCGCGGAGCTGGCCACGCCGGGCGGGTGGCTCCGAGCAGACCTCAGACACCAGCCATGCCCGTGGTTGGCAGATGGCCTTTAAGGGCAGCGTGCTGCTTCCAGAGAGGCCGAGTTCACTGTAGAAAACCTGGTAGCTGGCGCCCAGAAGCTCTGGGGCACGGAAGCGCAGGGGCACGGGAACCCCAAACAAGACGGCAGCTGAGGCTGTGGGAGCCGTGGCCCTTCCCCCTCTGGGACCCAGCGTAAGAGGGGTCTGCACTGCACGGTCAGGAGTCGCAGGCTGAGTCCTGCGGGCTGGGGCTCACAGGTACAACGTCCCACCCCTTTCTGTGCGGGGGGTGCGAGGGGGGACCCTCCAGGAGCTCAGCATGAGTCTGACACCGGCACAAAAGGCCCGCCTACCTCGGCCAATGTTCACGCTCACGTCTCCAAATGCTCACGTTACCAAGGTAAGCATTAGTCTAAAAACCCGTCCACATGACCCAGTGCGGCACACCAGCGCCCCTGACGTCCCCGCACGGCTAGTGGGGCGTTTGCTTCTTGGGCCAGCACGACGGCTCTCTGCAGAACAGCCCCGACCAGAACCTGGAGCCACAGGAACGCAGCGCCAGAGACTTAGGTCAGACCTGAAAACGATCACTCGGCAGACTCCAAGGCCCGCGATCGCGGCGTCGGTCCTGAGATCTCCAAAACCCAAACCCACTCTGCGCCCCTGCTCCGAAGCCCCGCGGCTCCCCTTGCTTCCCCGCCCCTCCCCCAGCGCCCCTGGTTTCTGAGCCGTCGCGGGCGTTTCTCCAGTCCCCTGCTCCTTCCGTCCTCGGCCTGGAATGCCGTCCTGTTCCTTTCAAGACCCGGCCCAGACGCCGCGCCCTGCGCACACTTCCTGCCTGCACTCCTGCCCGCCGGGCCTTGCTCCGGCCCCCCGCCCCCGCCCCCGCCCGTCCCTGGCACAGTCGGGCCGTGACCTGAGCCTGCGGTCCGCGGGGTCCGCGCAGGGGGAGCTGGGCGCGGCTTGTGGGACCGCGGGGGCCCGAGGAGGGCAGGGAGGACGGGCTTCTTGATCGCCTCGGCTCTTAGCCGGGCGCGCACCTCGTGGGTGTTTGTTGAATGACTGCAGGGCTGGAGGACTAGTCGCGGGTCGGCGAGGGACTCAGGTTTCTCTCCAAAGCCTCCCGAGTGCTCCGCACGGGTCCCATCGGCTACCTCCTCCACGCCCTCGCCCGGCCCCCCTCGGGGCTGGCGGGGAAACGCCGCCAGACCCACACGGCTGGGGACGCCCCACACCTGCGAACAACCCCGGGCTGCGCAAGCCACGACTGCCAGGGGGTCCCGGCTGCGACCTCCTTCGGAAGGAGCCCCGCCTTTCCAGCGCAAGGCTGCGCAGGGCCCCCGCTCCGCCCCGCGCACCGCCCCGGCATCGCCCCGCCCCGCCCCGCCAGGTGCTCCCCTCCTCTCCCGTGCTCAGCCCCGGGTGCCGAGCCCGCCGCCACACGACACGCGCGCGCGGGGCGGTGAGCATGGAGCCCCCGCCTCCTGCGTGCGTCCCGAACCCCAGGGCTGCGGGGCGCTTGGTCCTGGATCGGGATTGCGGTCAGGGTCCGGCCTTCCTCCCGCCTCGCGGGCCCCCTAACGGCGCAGGCGCCCGCGGCCTGGGCGGGGGCGCGGGGACCCCACGAGCTTCCGGCTCCGCGTGGCTCCGGCTCCTCTCCGAACCCGCTCCGCCTACACCTCCAGGACCATCCTCCACCGCCCCAGCGCCAGGACCCAGCGGGCCGCCCTCTGCTCAGTCCCCGGAGAAGACGCCCTACTGGGACGCGAGGTCCCAAGACGCGGCAGGCTCGGGCCAGGCACAGTCGAGGCTGGAAACGCGGGCAGGAGAGAGGGCCCGCGGGGGACGCGGCCCTCGGGGTGCCCACCGGGCCAGGCACCCAGACAAAAGCCAGACCCCCGCCTTTTCCCTCGTCCCGGACCACGTGGCAGTCTCACGCCCCTGTAGCCACCGAGGCCTGCGGTAGGGTCGCTTATCACAGCCATTTCCACTTGGAAAATGAGGAAACTGAGGCAGCGGAGCTGTCCGAGGTGGCAGAGCACAGACGCACCTGGGCGCCCAAGGGACCCCGCGGAGGGTCCCTGCCCAGCCCCAGAGTGGCCCACTTCCTGTTCAACCCTGGTGCCAGAGTCGGGGTGTTCAGTGGTAACTGGATGGGCATGTAACCTGTGAAGGGGTCTCAGAGAGTGGGCACCCCTCAACCAGCTGGGGAGGCTTGAGGGGGTCAACCTGTGCGGCTCCTTTGTAGGCAGTGGTGAAGCCAGGGTCCCAGGGTGCCTGCTGAGACCCTCCCTGAACCCAGCGCCTCCACAGGGTTGGTACTGCCCAGCAGCAGGGGCAGGGGGTCAGGAGCTCATGGCTCCATCCACTTGGGGTTCCCAACTCCCCCCAGGCCGCCCATGCCCTGAGGCTGGCTGAGAAGGCCTGGGTGAGGCCCCACTCCCCGGGAGTTGCCAGGATCAAAGGGCAGAAAGCCGCCTCCACCTCGCCCACTGAGACAGGAATCCGTAGCCTGGGGGGACAGAACCCACAGCTACATTCCAGGTGCCCCAGTCCCCACAGGGCAAGGGCGGGGAAGGGCTGGGGGTGCCAAGACTGGCGCCCTGAGCGTGGGAACCACCTCACTGGAAGGCCCATCCCAGCTGCCTGGAAGCCACCTCTGTCCTTCTGAGGCCCAGGGTGACGCTGCCAGGCCCCTGCGGCTGGGGCTTGAGGTTTGGGGCTTAGGCCTTGCAGCCTGAAGCAGTGAGCTTCCAGATTCCTAGGGCAGTCTGAGCAGGCAGCCACTGCCCGCTTCTGGGGCTGGCATGGGCCACAGGAGGAGGGGTGTTGGGGCTGCACGGAGCAGCGTTCCTGGCACACAAAAACATTCACATGCACATGTGCGCACGCACGCACATACACACAGCCTGCATCAAGCACTCAGGAAGGCAGCCGTATCCAAGCCCAATACTGGCCTGGGAGGGCCGAGCCCTGCTGGATGGAGCAGGTCTGAAGGCCCTATGTACCCCTGTCCCCTAGCAGCCTTGAGGTCCCCTGTGCTGGGTGGGTGTGGACCCAGCTCCCAGGGGCCAGAGACCCCCAGGCACCAGGTGAAGCCCAGGCCCACACTCTACCCTGCCTGGCACAGCAAGGGTCCCTTCCTACCCCCGTTCTGGAGGTGCGGAAACAGACCCACAGAGGCCCAGTGATCCTGCAGCAAGCTGGAGGCTTCATACCAAGTGCAAGGAGGGTGTGGAACCCTGCGGACCCCGACTTTCTACTCTGGAGTGCCAGGCAGGTGACATGTCCTCCTCAGACCTGGTCCTCAGCAGGGTGGGGCTCACAGTGACCACTTGGCAGAGTTAGGGAGCCCAGTGAGCAGCCCTTCTGTCTGCCCCACCTCCAGCTCTTGGGCTGGTGCCCCTTCCCCGCACACTGGGAGCCCAGCGCCCCCTGGTGGGCATGGGGTGCTCTGGGCGGCAGGGCTGAGGCACAGTGTCCCTGGGGGAGCTGGAGAGAGCCTGGCAGGTGGCCCCCACCCCCAGGCCTCCCTGTTGCTCCAGAGGGGTGGAGCTGTCTGCGGCCTCAGTGCCTACACTGGGGGAGTGGGGCCTCCCTATTCACTCCTGGGCCTTGGAGACCAGCACTGCCCAGCACTGGCTCCACACCTGGCTCTGGGTGGAGTATGGGGTCTCCACCCTGGCTGGGGTCCAGCCTCCTGGCCAGGGTCTGCACTGGGTGAGCTGCTCCCCTTCCTGGGCTCTGCTGTCACAGAGCTGGTGCCCATGGCCTAGAGGGTGAGCTAGGCCTGCCATTTGCTTCTGGCACAGGCCTGCCCTCCAGGAGTTGGGCCTCACACTCCCTGGAGCCCTGGATGAGGGCTGACCAGGCAGGGGACCGGTGTGCCCAGGGACAGAAGTCTGCACACCACATGTGGTCCTGCAATCAGGCTCGTGTGCACGCAGCACACACACACACCGGCACACGCCTTCCCATGGGAAGAAGCACCCGTTTGCACAGCTTCAGGCCCAGATGTCATAATGGAGCCACCAGAAGCAAGGTGAGGGAAAGCCAGGAGGTTAGTGTTTGGGGTTGCATCCTGGGGCCTCAGCTTCCTTTCCAGCAGCCGGAGTCACAATTCCAGAGGCAGTCGTCCTGAGGTGGAAGAGATGGAAAGAATGGCAGAGATGGGGAAGCTGAGGCCAGGCAGCTCAGGAATGTGTCCAGTGTCTCCTGAGGCAGGAGCCTGCCCTGCAGCTTTCTTGGGTGGCTTGAGGTGAGGTGAGGTCAGGTCCCTGGGACCCAGGGTGCGAAGAGGGCCTGTGTGCGAGAGGTAGGCTGCAAGAGGTAGAGCAAGGTAGAGGGAGCCCTGCCCAGCTGGAGGAGTCCCTGGGGCTTCAAGTAAGTCCTTGGGGTGTCAGGTTCACAGAGTCAGATCCCAAGGGTGAGGGTCCGGGCTGTCCCCACTAACAGCAGCATGCAGTCCCAGGAGGGGCTGGGGAGCTGTGCGGGGTTCATGCAGAGGGAGGCCTTTGCCCTGGGTGCCAGCTCTCTGGAATTGCTGTCACTCCTAGCCCTGCCTGCAGGAGGTGCCAGTCCCCAGGGTGGGAAGGAGCAAGCAGGGCTGGGGCTTGGGTGCGAATCCCCTGGTACCTCAAGGTTTGCATCGGCAAATTGGGACCAAGAGCAAGACCTGCCTTCCAGGGTTATTGTGCAAATAAGACCCAGAGGTGAAGCCACTTGTGACTAAGGGCTTCTGCCCAGAGCGTCAGACAGTGTGGTGGTGACTGGGAGGGGGTTGGGGTGGGTTGGTGGGGTAGGGCATTGAGGGCACAGGGGCGAGGAGGGGAGGTGGGGTAGGAGGGGGTCAAGAAGGGGACAGTCACATGCTGGATGGAAGGGGGAGAAAGGAGCTGCACTCTGAGGGACAGGCAGGGAGGCTGTAGGCAGGGCAACCAGCAGGTCAGGAAATCCGGGGACCTGCAATGGGTCAGGGGGTCCCTGAGCCATGGGTCATGGGGGTTCAGCACCTGCTTCTCTGCCAGGGAACCTGAGGCTCCAGGTCTGAGTGCATCTGTCGGGACCCATGGTGGAGGAGCTGTGGGGAACATGGGGTGCAGGCTCCCTGGAGGAGCTTGGGTAGTAGTAGAGTGGGCTGGAGCTGGGAGGGAAGGGACTTGCTGGTGCCCTAGCCTGGCTGAGGCCCTAGGGGCCCCCAGTGGCCCCCTGAGAACCCTCAGCAGCACTGGGCCTTGCACTCTGGCGGGAGGTGTAGGTCAGTGACAGCCACCAGGTGGCGGGGCAGCCCTGGGACTGGCAGATGCTGGGAGGAGGTGCTGCCTGGGCTGTCACCTCTCCTGGCTGCCTCACCCTTCCAGGGAGCAGCCCAGGGGGCTACAAATGGAGACCCAGGCCCCTGACACCCCGGCCAGCGTGGAGTCCCTGCAGCTGTCTTGAGGCAAGAGGTGGGAAGAGCCTGAGCTTCCTGCCTCTTTGCCTCTGCTGGGCTGTGCAACCTTGAACAACGTTCTCGCTGTGTGCCTCAGTTTCCCCTGTGGACATGTGGAAGGGTGAAGAGTATTCCCAGACTGTTCCCAGGAGAAAAAGGCATGAGTGGTTGGGCTCGTCTGGATAGGCAAGCAGCCTACCTGCCCAGTGTGTGAACATCAGGGCCCTGTCTGGCTCCTGGGAGCCCCTGGCACACACACAGGCCCTCCCTACCAGCTGCAGCTCCCGCCAGGAGGCCAGCTGGTGGACGGTTGTTCCTCCCAGGCGGTAGTGTAGGATGCACTGTACCTGTACCTGTGAGAATTAGGATCAGAGAATGGGGGCAGCTGCTGAGTAACAGGGCTCCGGCTGCCTGCCTGCCCCAACGGGGCAAGGAACCTCAACAAACCCCAGTGGCCGGGGAATGCGCTCATCAGTCTAGAACTTCTTCCATCATGTGGGAGGTTCTCTGGCTGAGGAGACTGGGTTCCTGTGAGTCAAGAAAATGTCCCTGGCCACTTGCCACCCGCTGGGGGCCGGAGGTGACAGCCCAGGCAGTGTCCCCACAGCCTGCGGTTTCCCCAGGCTCAGGGCAGGCACTGAGGGGGCTGAGTTCAAAGCTGACTGTGCCACAGGGGCCGCTGCCACCAGCTGCCTCCCAAGGCCCCCACAGGGAGGCGGGGGCTGGTGGGCTGGATGCCTTCCTCCAGAGCAGTGGTGCCCCAAACCTCAGCTGCCAGGGTGCCAAACTCTGTGATGATTTCATGTGGCTGCAGCAGCTGGCGGGTAGGGCCGTGGGGTGCAGCTCTGCAGCTTCCTGCTGCTGTTCTGGGGATGGCGAGGGCCTGAGGTTCAGAGCAAGGTGGGCTTGGGCGGCTGTGCGGAGGGGGGCATGTCCCTCCGAGGCCCTCAGCTCCTCCTAACCCCCTTCTCCATGCCAGAGGAGGGGCAGGGTGAGAACACAGGCCTTGCTTGTTCCCAGATGTGTGGGCAGCCCCAAGACTATGAATCAGTTACTGCACCTGTGGAGGGAGACCCTGCATCCTCCCTCCCTAGCCCAGACGCAGGACCTGGCCACTAGGACCCAGCCACCAGGTGCGCATCACCAGGCAGGTTGGCAGCCATGACTTTTCATTACAGAGTAACTTCTATGTGTCTGAACACAGAATTTATCTCTCGCCAGAGCCACACTTCCTTGGACGCCTGTGGCCTGCCCCATCTCCGGACTGCCCAGCCCTCAGCCTTCCCCAAGCTCTCCTCACGGCTCACACTGCAGGGGCTGCTTTAGTGTCCTTCAAGTCTGTGCAGTAGGGGCCTAGCTTGTCCTTGTCATGCATGGTCCAAAGAAAGGTGTGGCTCTTGCCTGGCTGCTGGAGGGGCACTCTGAGCCCCTGGAATGTTGGAGACCCCACTGAATCTGTCGTGGCCCCTTGGGGTAGCCCTTGGGCACAGCAGCTGTCCATGGAAGCCCTGAGGACCTGGCTACCAGACCTTTCTCTGTGGAGGTCACCCTCCCTGAAGGAGAAGCAGTTGTCTCCGTTTTGGTTGAACCTGGACTTACTTCCATGTACTGATGTGTGCAGAGCTGGCAGGAACTTTTCCTTGTCCCTTCAGTTGGCTTTGAGCAATGCACATTGGTCCAGCTGAGGAGCTGATGTGTAGTCTTTGAAGCAAGGTGACGGGGCGATGTTTCCCTGGCCCCCGTAGCTCCCAAATAAAGTATGTGTGAGTCGGGATGAAGTGGGAAGGAGAGCCCTGCTCCACACTGTTGGCTGGGATGGAGCTCAGATCAAGATAAGAGGCTCTGACTTCCCAGAGCATAAAAGGTTACACAGCAGAGCGGAAGCACCAGCCCCAAAACATCAGATACCACCTCAGTTGTGTTATGCAGATTACTCTTTCTGCATATCCTTTTCTCTGCCTATTCCAGAGGTGATCTCAGGCCTCTTACCTAGCCCAGTTCATAGCACTCACATACTTCCCAGCATTCTCACAGTCACTCATCCTCAAGCCACTCCTTCCTTCACAAATTAATAAAACCTGGGTTTGGCCCTGGGTTAGGCCTTCGTTCCAGTTAGCCATCATTCTAGCTGCACTTAGGACCCCTTGGCTCCCCATAACTGCAGATGTGCCTCAGTGTCTTTATTCTTGCCATGGGTTGCACTGGAAATGGTAGATTGGAATTAACTCACTAAAATTCCAATAACTTTTCCATGGGATCAAAAATATAAACTTCCTTGGCCAGGACAAGGACCAGGAAGTGCTCTCTGTACAACCCACCAGGCCACAGGGTTGGGTGAGTAACAGGGCTTGTCAGGAAAGTAGAGGGACAGGGTGGCTGAATGGATGGGGAGGTAGATGGAGGAATACAGGAAGAGACACATGGACAGAGGGCTGGATGAACAGAGGAATGGATAGAAAGGTGGGTGATATCTTATTCTGTGCTGCTATGACAAAACACCTAATCTGGGTAACTTACAAAAAAAGAAACTTACTTCCATGTTTCCCTGAGTTCTGCAAACTAAAAGGTTCAGGATCAAAGGGCTAGCATTTGGTGTGGGCCTTCTTGCTGTGCCACGCATCCCTGGTAGAAGACAGAAGGGCAGAGAAGGCATGGCAGGAGCGCGCTGAGCTCCTCCTTTTATCAGGAGCCCCTTTTCTATAACAGCATTAAAAGATCCACGAAAGCAGAGCCCTTGTGGTCTAATCACCTTCCACCACGCCCTACCTCCCAGCACTGTTGCACCAAAGCCTAAGTCTCCAACCCATGTTTTTGGGGAGGCACATTCAAGTCACAGCAGATGGGGAGACGGATGGGTCAGTGGAGAGAAGGAGAGATACAAGGATGGATGGATGGATGGATGGGAGGGTGGGTGGACGATGAATGGATGGATGCAGGGGTAAATGAGTGGATGGGGATGGACTGATGGATAATGAGTGGATCTGTGGATGGAAAGATGGGGGTAAATGAGTGGGTGGGTAGGTGGGTAGATGGATGAGCAGGTGGGTGGGTGATGGGTGGGTGGGTGGGTGGATGGGTGCAGGGGTGGGTGAAGGTCTAGGAGACGGGAAGGTGGGTGGTAGAGGGATGAACAGGAGGAGACAGTGAGGTGGTAGGTAGAGGGTGGGTGGATGGGTGGAGGCTGTGCAGAGGACAAGCACAATAAACCGGTAACTGCAGTACATGGGTGGTAAGAGCATGAGGCAACTGTGTGATTCTTCTAAGACTGCGGCACATTGCAAAAATGAGACAATGGTGGTGAAATTTTTATAGCTACACACCCTAACACACAAACACACTGCCGACGAACTTATGAGCTGAAGAAGAAATCATAATAGAAAGTTGAAACATCCCAAATTGACACTGAGAATGCCGCATATCCGGACTTGGGCAGCACAGCGAAGTATAGCATGCAGGGAGATGGCTGCAAATGCCTGTGCAAGAGGAAGAAATCCTCAGATTTGTGAGCCACAGCCCATCTCAGAGAGCTGGGCAGCAGTGGACTGCAAAGGGGCACAGTAAAAGCTCCTGGGCTGATGGAGCTATTTCGTATCTCACTTGTACCAGCAGCCACACTGGATGCATTTATCCAAAGTCAGAACTGTATGCCTGAGAAAGCTGAACTGCAGAGTGTAAATCAGACCTCAAGTTTAAATTAAATGAAAGGAGGATCTGGGCATATACCTCAGCAGCATCGCGCCTGCCTCGCAAGTGTGAGGTTGTGAGTTTGATTCCTGGTTAAAAAAAAAACTTAAATGAAAAGGGAAGCTGAGGTTAAAAAATAAGACTCAACAAAGTTGAAAAATGGATAAGATGAAGGTAAACATTAATGACACAGAAAAAAAAGGTGCAGTAGATAAGAGTGTGATAATTGCAGATTTAAAAGATAGTAAGTCAGACTGGGTGGAAAGGGTTCCACACCAGCGAGCAGATAAAGCTGGTATTTAAAACACACTAACAGCTCTCAGAACTCAGCAGTAAAGAAGTAAATAACCCAATTTAAAAATGGGCTAAAGTGCCTTATCCCTCTGAACAAAGTGCAGCAGAGGGGTAACAAGCAACAAGAGCCGTTCAGTGCCATTGTCATTTGGCAAATGCAAACTGAGACCACAGGGCAGCACCACGGCACGCCCACTAGAACAGCTACAAAACAGATGAACGGGCGGCCACACTGTGGGATGACAAAGGGGGGGAATGTGTGACTGGGAGAATGAGCACAGTGCACCCCAGTGCAAGAGTCTGGCTGGTTCTCAGCCCAGGACCCCATAGACAGGGGGACCCCATAGACAGGGGTACCGCACAGACACGGATGACATGGATCCTGAGAGCGGCTTTTTTTTGTTTGTTTGCTTTTTTTTTTTTGAAACAGGGTCTTGCTCTGTAGTCCAGAACTTGCTTATGTAGCCCAGGCTGGCCTCGAACTTTTGGCAATCCTCCTGCCTCAGCCTCCCGAGTGCTGGGGTTACAGGTATGTGCCACCATGCCTGGCTTGAGAGAGCAGCTTTTTAATAATTGCCAAAAGCTAGAAACATACCAAGTGTTCTGCAGCTGGTGAATAGATAAAGAACCATGACCCGTCCCTAAGGTGGAATACTACTAGGTAGCCACAGGAGTGAGTTGCCAGTTCCCACAAGATCTCACCTGTGGCCTTCTTTGTGAAATAGCTGGATTCAGCAGGCTGCTAACTGCACAGTTCCATCCCCGGGCTTGGGAAGGCAGAGCTGGGGAGAAGGAAGGGATCAGAACGCACCCCAAGGGCACAGGAGGGTGTTGTGGGTGATGGGACTGCTGGGCCCTGACCATGGTAGAGGAGGGAGGACTCTGCCGCTGTGAAACTGCTTCTGAAAATGTAGATGTAATGAACTAAGTGGCCAGAAAAACAAACAGCTCCCCGTGGCCGACTGAAGCAACACCTCCGTCTTCCCAGGCAGACTCCAGGGGCTTGAAGGACCCGTTCTGCAGGTGAAGTCTTGGAGGAGGACAGAGGTGAGTGCTGCCCTAACCCTGATCCAAAGTCTGGGGTTCCAGGAGAAGCCTCCACCTCCTGGTCCAGAGGGAGCAGCTCAGGGAACAGGGCAGCAGGGCTGGCCAGTCCAGAGCACGGCTCGCACCCCCAGTGCCTGGAGTGAGCAGGGTTTGAGCATATCTGTGTGTGTGTGCACATCTGTGCCCACCTGTGCACGCTTGTGTGCAGCACAGCAGGTGTGATCCTGTGGAGGGGAGGAGGTGGCGGGTGCTGCAGGCAGGGATGCAGGGCGTGACAGGGGCTGGGGCTGACCTTCCACCTAGAGGAAGCCTTCTGGGCGGGCCTTTGGGTGCACTCGGGAAGCGGCCAGCACCACATGGTCAGAGCTTTTCAGGTGGGAGGAGAGTTCCCTCTCTTTGTCCTGTTCTGGGCGGGGATCAGCCCCTGCCCCCCCATTCCCTGCCTCTCCAGGATGGGGTGTGGCCTGCACAGAGCTTCCCCGTGGTCTCTTCTGTGCCTGGAGATATGAGGGCCCCCGCTTGGACTGGGGCCCCCTAGCACAGATCTCCCTCAGGTCATGGCCTGCTCACAGAGGCTGCTGGGGGCCGTCTGCCTGGTCTTCCCCGGCTGGTGACAACTGAGGGGCTCCCCAGGACAGCAGCCTGGATCCCCCACCTTGGCCGCTCTGTAAGCTCCAGGAGGTGGGGTGGCTGCACTCTGACAGCCTTGGGGGAATCGATGACCCGGTGAGTGTGGGTGCTCCAACGTCAGCGGGTGTTTTCCACGTGGGCAGTGTCTCCCCACAGGATCTGGGCTGTGTCAAGGGCCGGGTGGCGGAGGAGAGGGGCCGAGTGGCACCTCCGGGGTCCCCCGCCCACAGCACTTCTGCTTTTGATGCAGAGGTAGAGGGTGCAGAGGGCATGTGGTCCTGGGCCTGGGGAGCTCTGCATTCACCGCTGCGCTGACCTCACTGCCAGCATGGGGCCGCTGCGGGAGAGGCCAGGGCTGGGCCTGATGGGGCCAGCAGGTCCCTCACCTGGATGAGGTCCTCCAGCCTGGCCGTGCTCCCAGGGGAGGGGGGGGTGGGCTGGGGAAGAAGGCTTGGCCACGCCCACCTCTAGGAGGGGAAACTCTGTTTTGTTCTTCCCTCCCCTCCCTTTCCCTTCCCTTCCCTTCCCTTTCCTTTTTCTTCTCTCCTGCTGTTTTGTCTTTTGTTTTTGTGGTGCTGGGGATTGATCCCAGGGCTTTCACACTGAGCTACATCCCCAGCTTTTTTTATTTCTTAAAATTCTGGGACAGTCTTGATGAGTTACTGAGTTTCCCAGGCGGGGCTTGAACTTGTGGCCCTCCTGCTTCAGCCTCTCAGGGTGCTGGGATTTCTCCTGTGCATGCCCATGCTCAGTTTGGAAAAATCCAATGTCCACTTTCCAGCCTGCCCCGGGCCTCTGTCAGGCCCTCCGTGTGGCACGCACAGAGCCACTTGAAGCTTCCTGGGGGTGCCATGGGGGTAGAGCAGGGCTCAAGCCTCATCCTCCAGCTCTGTGCTTGCTCCAGAGCTGGGTGGGGCCTGCTAGATGGCAGAGGTGGGACCCCTTTCAGTTGCACTTCTGTATTTCTGTGTGGTCCAAAGCTGACTCATCAGACAGAGCCCTGGGGACAGACAGCCCTACTGTCCCTGTCCTTGCCCGCACACCCGGAGGTCTGGGATGGCGCTAGTCTCGGGACTCTTCCTGTCTCAAGGAAGCCTTAGGATAAAAACAAATAGTTCCTGCAGGGCATAGAGGTGCACACCTGTAATCACAGCACTTTGGAGAATGAGACAGGACATTCACAAGTTTAAGATCAGTTCAGGCAATTTAGTGACTTAGGGAGACTTTGTCTCAAAAGAAAAAGTAAAAAGGGGCTGGGGCTGTAGCTGTAGTAAAGGCCCTGGGTTCAGTCCCCAGTACCTCAAAGAAACCCCAAAAAAATGAAAACCAAAAAAATAAAACCAAAAGCAGAAAATCTCCCGGCATGGTGGTGCACGTCTGTAATTCCAGCACTCGGGAGGCTGAGGCAGGAGGATTGTTGTGAGTTCTAGACCAACCTGGGCTACAAAGTGAGCTCAAGGTCAGCCTGAACTGCACAGTAAGACCCCGTCTCAAAAAACAAACAAAAAACCCCCTAAAAGCAGAAAATCCAGTTCCTAAGAGTTGCTGAGAGTGGGCACAGAGCTTGAGGCCCTGTTGGAAATCTGGGGCTTTGGAACTAGAGCAGGAGCAGAGAGAGAGATCCCTGGGTCAGAGAGATTGCAGACTGCAGGGGCAAGGCGCCCAAGGGGAGGGGCTCACTGGGTGGAGAACCTGGGCCCCCGCCCGCCCCTCACAGATGCTTGGATCTCAGATGCTCAGTGACCCCTGCAACCTGCAAGGAGAGGCCCAGGCCAGGGGTGCGTGGGGATCGTCAGCAGGGGTGGCCATGGAACATCACTGAGGATGGGGAGACCCACAGGGTGGAGGGCCAGGGTGGCAGCCCTGAGGGACCTTCTGGGACCCTGTAACGGACGATGGCAGAGCCCAGGCCCATGGGTGAGGCCAGGCTGTTGGGGTCTAGCTTCCAGGCATTGGCACCGGCCTCAGGAAACCAGGAGGGCAGTCCCTGTTGGCAAATTCTGGGGCAGATGCAGCTCAAAAGCCCCTTTCCTCCCCTCTCTGTTCTCAGAATGTCTCTGGTTAGAACTGGGGACCTTGTGCTCTCTGACGTGCAACAGGGTCACCCCGTGGAAATCCCCAGAAAGCTGGCCTTCCCCTCTGTGTCCCCATGTGGCATCAGGAAGGGAGGGAGCAGTGAGGACGGACGCTGGCCAGACCAGGCTGCCCGGGAGTCCCAGAAGCCAGGGAGGCTCTTTCTAAGGGCAGTCACCTGGCCAGCCGGACCCGTCATCTCCACGACAGACGGGCAATTGTCACAAGACCAAGGGGACAACCATGCTGTCATCCGCACTGGCACATGGGAAACTTGTAAAATCTGGGATAACTGGACCATCATCAACAATAACAACTAGAGCCAGGGATGTAGGTCTGCAGCACAGCGCCTGCCTGGCAAGTGCACGGTCCTGAGTTTGATTCCCAGTACAAAAAAAAAATAATAATAATGACTGGCAGAGTACCAAGGAGGCAAAATCTGTAACGTCTTGTTCACAGCAGCCAGGAGGTGGCAGCCACACAAATGTCCACCCGGGATGACACTCAAGCAAGTGGACCCTCTGCACAGGGGGACACTATGTAGCCCTGAAAAGGAGGAAATTCTGATGCCTGTGGCAGTGTGGAAGAATTCAGAGGGTGCTGTGCTCAGGGAAACCTGTGGCCAGAAAGACAACTAGTGTGTGAGGCTCCTGTAATGAAGTCTGGAACAGAGAGAGTGGCAGGGCCATGTGGCGGTGGGGTTAGTGGGTGAGCAGTTCCTGTTTCACCAGGTGACAAGGTCCTGAGGGTGGATGGCGTGACAGCCACACAGAGTCCTGGTGTTAGAGCCACGACCTGTTCACATAGAAATGGTGCTTTTTAGGATGTGATCTGACCACAATAAAATAAAAGTCCGTAAGTCTTTAGAGAGAAGAAACCAACCCATGTGGCTTGGAGGAGGTGGGGCCACCCAGCTGCTTGGGGAGGCCCTTGCTGCCAAGCCAGGGCTGGCAGGCACAGAGGGCAGGGTCACTGCAGCTTGCCACTCCGCAGCCCACAGAGGTGGTGGACTGCCCAGCATCCCCAGCAGGCTGCCTGGTGACAGGCCAGGTCCACTGTGCCACAGCCTGGACACCTGTGCTCTCCGAGAAGGGATCCGGCACGGGGGTGAAGGGGTGGTGGACAGTGGTTGGTGGTGAATGTGGTACGCCTGAGCCCTGAGGCCACAGCCCCGGCAGGTGTGTTTCTGGGTGGCTGAGGCCCTGTAAGCCAGCTTTCTAGGGACTCTAACACCACCCACACAGAACCTAAAGATTGCTGTTCAGGGCGGGGCCTCCAGCCACATGGCCTGGGACACACTGGCCACAGCTGCCTGGATCAGGGCTGTGACCGCCCTGCCTGGTGCCCCGTACACAGGAGTCCTGGAGATGCTTGGGCCCAGCCCCTGCCCTGGGCCAGCCCCGGCCCCACTGCTGGAAGAGCAGGACTGGGCCAGACACCTTGCAGTGTCAAGGAAAGTTGGGCACCCGGAAACCCAGAGCCAGCCCTCAGGCACAGGAGGTCACGTGACACAGCGGGTACACCTGCTGCCAGCTGACATCTGCCAGGAAGACTGGGCCATGTTTGCATCCCAAATGCTCTGTTCTAGGGCTCAGCAAGTCACGGGGAGAAACCCATGGGGGTCAGGCAGCACTCAGGGACTGTGACTGTGCCGGGCACCCTCACCCAGCCCCCACCCCGCCCCTCCTGGCCTGGCACAGACAAGCCCACCGCCAGGGACCTCGGCCAACCCGGGTTTGGCCCTGGAAGGAAGAAGCCCAGGCCAACACCGGGGCAGCTGCCGGCTGATCCTCCCCAGGGCCCTGGAGGAAGGGGCAGCAGGAGGGCAGGGCTGTGGCACTGCTGGGCCGTGCTTGAAGTTGGTGCCTGTCTGGGCACACCCAGTGCAGAGCCCCCACTGAGGAAGGACTGGACCTGCCTCCTCAGGGCCCTTCCTGGGGTGTCCTGTTGTCACCTTGTCTGACTGGGGACACATGGGGCCGGCATGGCACCACCTCAGACGGAGCCACCTGGCCCTCGTGTCCCCTGGCCTCAGTCCCTTGGCTGCAGCTTGGCTCCCTGACAAGGGCAAGGCCTTGCTGGGGCAGTGTCACAGCGCAGACTGCAGGTCTGGAGCCACTTCCTGCCATCTGCCCCCAGGAAAGTGAGGAGGCCCTGAGGCTGTCAGGACAGATTACACCCGCCCCAGGCCACCCCCACCCCAGGCTCTGTGGTTAGACTAGAGGAGTTTCAGCACAGGCCCACAGCGGGTGGGGGCTGGGGCTGGGGCCGGAGCTGGGACTTCCTGAAACCTGCCTGCAGCAAGCAGGGCGGGCATGTGGCTCTGCTGTGGGATAGCCCAGGTAAGGTACCAGGCTGGGGGCTGGGGAGTGGGCCCAGGGAACCAAGGACCCAGTGATCTGCTGGTAAAGGCACAAAGCCCCACTGAGGCTCACGTCCTGGGCTTATGCCCCGGGTGCACCCAGAGGTGTGGTGCCCACCAGCCACAGGCATTCTGACAGCTCCGAGTCCCAGGTGGCTTGGTTGGGGACCTAGGGCTCTTTCCCTCCAGGGCTGCTCAGGCACAGAGGCAGGAGTGGAGCAAGGCAGCTGGCAGGGCTCTGCTAGATGGGGAGACCCAAGGGCTGGCAGCTTACGGGCTCCCTGGGTGGTGTGCAGAGTGCCAGCCACAGCAGGCCTCCATCTGTTCTGCTGGGCTGGTGGACCTGGGCTGCATACCCAGGGCTGGGCTGACCGGTTATTCTCAGTATTTCTGTTCAGGCCCCTGGCATGATGTTCTAGGGAGCCGGCCAGCCTGAGAGGAGGACAGAGACATGGGGTGAGGACCTAGGAGTCCAGTGGAAAGTGTGCTGCAGAAACACGCATCTCCCTTGCCTTGGTGGGGAACAGGAACCATGTCCTGTGGCAGGGTCAGTGTGTGGCCACTGCTCCTGGGGCCGTGGTTCTGCCCGCTGTGCATCCAGCACCAGGACAGATGCAGGTGGAGTCATCGTTCCCTGCAGGGCCTGTAGCACAGGAGGGTGTGGAAGGGCAAGGCTGGAGAGGGTCCAGCTGCCCGGCAGTGGTGCAGGGCATGGTGCTGATGCAGGCGGGGGCATTCCCCAAGCCTGGCACGGTGTGGACAGTGGTCAGGCACCACTGCTACCAGTGACCCTGAGATCTGAGTGCCCTTGAGGTGTGGAGAGCCAGGAGGGGTCTGCTCGAAGGGACAAATAGGACTGAGCCTGAAGGGGTGAGCCTGAGGGGACAGATGGACTGGAGCTACCAGCGGGGTGCAGGGCGCTGGCGGGGCTCTGGCCAGGCTGCAAAGAGACGTGAGGGGACACGGGACGCGCGGGCTTGAGGGAGGTGTGGGCTGAAGACACCCGACCCCACTGGGAGACCAGGAGGTGAAGTGTGCACAGTGCCTGGGGCTGGCAGGGCACCTGGAAGAGACCCAGGGCCACCACAGCCACCTGAGAGATGTCCCAGGGCCACCATGCTGCCCTGAGGCTGCAGGTCCCTCAGAGCACAAATCCAGGACCAGTGTGAGGCCACCAGACCCTGGAAGGCGTCACAGCAGCAGGCTCGCCGAGAGCCTTGCAGGTGGCGTGGGCACTGCGTGGCGGGCCTTGCTCTGATGTGAGGGGCCTTGCAGCCGAGCCAGGCCCGAGTCTGCGACTCCTCACCTCCTGTCACCTGCCCTCAGCCCTGCAGGGAGCCCTCCAGCTGGGAGACAGTCTCCTCAGGCATCCTCCAGGGAGCCCCCGTCCCGGACCTCTCCAGGGTCACCTCTGGCTACCCCTGCTCTCCTGGGCAGAGGCCTTCCCATGAGGAAGCCACCCAGCTGTGAGCACCGCATGGAGCCACCATGGAGGGGACCCTGGGTCAGGCATCCAGAGCATGGGTGCTGTGGGACTCGGACTAGGGCTGACCCAAAGCCGTGGGCCCCTCTGGCAGCTGTGCCAGGCAAAGCCAGGGTGGGAGATGCGCTGAGCACCCAGCAGCCGTGCTTGGTCATAGCACTGAGGATCTGATGTCTAGGTAGTGGAAAACTGGGCTGTCCCACGGGGGCCCCCTGTCGGCCCCTTTGCTGTGGCCAGCTGAGATGGCCCCAGATTAAGGTATCAGAACCTGTGCTGCCCAGCTGGGCTAAGCAGTGACCGTAGCACCTCCCCTGGCCAGCCCCCCCCTCCCCCAGTGTGCCCCTGCCTCACTGTGACAGGGCACTCGGCCTGCAGCAGAGAGGAGCGGCTGGGACTTTCCATTGGGGTCTCACTTCCTCTGGCTTTTGCCAAGGTGGTCCATAGAGCTCCCCCCATGTGAACAGGTGGCGTGACCCTTGCAGGAGCGTCCTTCTGGGCTGGTTTCTGTGGGTCTGTACAGGGACAGGGAAGTGGGTGGGTGTCCGGAAGCCCTGTGGGGCCTCTGCGTGCATTCTGACGCTGACCGGGGCCTCTGCTCTGGAGCAGAATGTGTGTGGGTCTCAGGCTGCTGGTCCCCGCAATCATTGCTGCTCTTTTGCCTGCCAACGACCCCGCTGGGAGGACAGACTGCAGCACCAGAGAGCACTGGCATCCCCAGCCCACAAGAACCCCCTCCCCCGCGAGCTAGAGACCCTGCCTAGCTCCCCTTGGCAGGGCCGCTGCTTCCCACCCTGGCACCCCCATTTCAGGAGTGGTCAGCAAGCCCTGTGTCAGCCCCAGACCTTGGACCTGGGTGCCATCCAGAGTTCGGAGTGGGAGGGTCCTGAGGACACTAGAGTGTCCCCCAAGTCACCTCCTGGGGGCCAACCTGAGGCCAGGGAGGGCAGGCCTGCTTCCCAGCCAATTTTAGCACAGTCCTGAGACTGGAACCCACATATTTGCTTGGAGAGACCCCAGAGGGGCCTGGCAGCGGAGCAGTTCCTCTTGGTTTTCCTGCAGCAGTTCACTTTTGAATGCACATCGAGGTCATTGAGGTGTTGCTTTAACCACTTAACAGTTTACCCCAGGGCCAGGGGTATAGCTCAGTGGTACAGGCCTGCCTGGCAAGTGCAAGGTGCTGAGTTCGATTCCTGGTACAAAAGAAAGTAAAAAAGCAGTTTAACCCTGCATTACTTGGGCAGCACGTTTGTTTACGTACTATCCAAAGCTATGCTCAGACAAGTGTCATTTCAACCACTGTTTTGTTTTGGTATGGGGAATCAAACTCAGGACCTTACACTTGCCAGGCAGGCGCAGTGCCACTGACTATATCCCTGACCCTACCAGTCCCTTCTTGTATTGAGTAAATTTGATAAAATTGTCATTTTTATATGTCCTGTGAGTATATATATATATATATATATATATATATATATATATATACTGTAGTAAAGTTTTATTAATGGTAAGAGAAGAAACAGGCTTTGCAGAGGGAGTAACAGTAGGAACAGAAGTGCACCCTCCAGTGTGGGGGTGGGCCGTGCACGACAGGAAGAGGCGGTGGCCCATTTCCTGTTATCTTATAAAAATCCTCGAAAAAATATGCAAGTTTTGGTCAACTTGTATTTAAATAATTGGACTGGTAAATGGTTAATGCTCTTCTAAGTTAGCGAACTTCCTGTTATTTCAGGTACACATCTCTTTCCTGTTATCTGGAGCCTAGAAACACTTGAAGGTTAGGCAGGGAAGCTGAGCACAGCCCCCTGGGTGACCCTGGGGCGGGGGTCGGGCTCTGCTGCGCCTGGGAGTGGCTTCCTGGGTTCCTGACCACAGAGGACCCTGTCTGACTCAGGGCAGCACCTCGGGGCATGTGTGGTGCTCAGCCTCCCGGAGCAGTGAAGCAGCCCCCAGCTAAGGCTCAGCCTCCACCCTCTGCGCCCTGTTGGTGCAGAGCGGGACCCTGTGGCCTGAGCTGGCCCCTGAGTTTCTGGGGCGCTGAGGTCCTCCACAGCATCTGAGGGAGGGCGTGGAGCCTTGCTTGCCCCAGACCCTCTTTGGCTGGTGAGAGTGGAGCCCATTGTAGGGGCTACCTGTCAGAGAGGCAGAGGGACAGGCCCACTGGGTACCCGTGTCCCTGCCGTGCCATGTGCCGAGGGCCTCGCCTCCCTTCATGCGGGACAGACTCTTTTCCCAGGTCATTATGTGCAGGAAAAAGTCCCTAGGAGGGCCTTTGGCAAGTTAAAAGCTGAGCACATTCAAGAATTTTGGAAGCGCGCTGCAAGCTCACACCCGGGAACCTGGCACGGGACCCTGCAGTCAGCTGATACAGGCTGCCCTGTCCTGCCATACTGACAGCTGGAGGCCTTATTTTGCCAACCTGATGGACAGAAAATCATCTGATGGACAGAAAACTTATCACATGTTTGTTCTTGTATTTCTTTGGTTGTAGTGGAATTGAGTAGTTCTAGGATTTTTAGGAGTATTTTTTTTTTCTTTTTTTTTGTGTGTGAAAGCTCCTGGCTTTCCTTCCCACACCTCAGCTTTACTAAATGACACAACATTGTGAATGTTTATGATGTACAAAGTCATGCTTTGATGCCCACCAGCTTAGATCATTTCTTCTGTTGGGTTCTTTTGTTGATGTGTTGCAATTTCTTTGTATATTAAGAATCTGCTATTATAGCCCACAAAATGATTTTTTTTTTTGAGACAGGGTCTCACTTTGTAATGCAGGCTGTCCTTGAACTCACTATGTAGTCCAAACTGGCCTTGTGCTCACTGTGTAGCCCACGCTGGCCTAGAACTCATAGCAATCCTCCTGCCTCAGCCTCCCCAGTGTTGGGATTACAAGAGAGTGCAACCATACCTGGATCCAGAAACTTTTTAATTTGATATGATCCCATGTGTTGATTCTCAGTGTTATCTCTTGTGCAATTGAGGTTCTGTTCAGAAAGTCTTTGCCTAGGCCTATGTCTTCAAGAGTTTTACCTATTTTGTCTTTCAGTAGACAAAATATGTTCTAATACTTAGATCTCTGATCCATTTTGATACAGTTCAGTGCACGGGGGAGACATGATCGAGGTTCAGTCTTCAGCATGCGGATGGCCTGTTCTCCCAGCATGGCAGCTTAGAGAGCTGTCTCCTCCAGTGCGTGGTTTTGGCCCCTTTGTGCCCACAGGAGGACTTGGTGCACCATAAATGTTCTCTAACCATTTGGCTGAATGAATTGATTCATGTGACTTCATCTGATTTTCCCAAGGTAATCAGCACTGTGTTTCCCCAGGTTACTCTGAACAGTCAGGGTGTCCTCGCTAGGCAGCAAGACGCATGACGTGGGCGAGGAAGCTTGCTTTGGAGCCGCCCTGAGCCTGGACCACAGCTATGCCAGGTGAGAGGGCCTCCTGGGGTCGTAAGCATCTACGAGGGCCCAGGGGAATGTTTCTAAGATGCACTTTGTCCCACAGCTTGGTCTCATAATTCAAAAATTCACAAGGATAGATTTTCAAAATAAAAACTAAATCCAGAGGGGCTCCATGAAGAAAATGGAAAGTACCCTCTTCATGCTTCTTTTGAGTAGTTCTGGTCTCTGTGTCTACTTCCCGGGAGAATGACCAGGCGTGACCACTCACATGTCCCCTGCTGGCCATCCTTGGGGTACAGGGAGGGGCTGACCAAGAGACTCCCCCTCTTCGCCCTTCTGCTTCTCCTGGGCTTGTCCCCGGTCACCTGCAGGGAGGGAGGTGGGATGAGGGCTGTGCCTGGTCCTCCAAGGTCCACAGCAGTGGGGTGTGGTGCCCAGGGAAGGGCAACAGGTTGTGTGGCCTGAGCAGGTGGCACGGGACCCGCCCCACCAGGACCCTGCAGTGGACACTGGAGGTGGGGAGGGGACCAGAGCCGCTCTGTGGAGGACATGGACACCACCGGGCCTTGAATGTCCTCCACCTGCATCACAGTCAGCTGACCATGCACGCGAACTGTGAGCCACTTTAACCTGTGGGTGTCAGAGATTGCGTCACGATGTGGATGAGCTTTAAGGACCCTGTGCTGAGTGAAATAAACCAGGCACAAAAGGACAGATACCAGATGACCACTCACAGGAGGCCCCAGGGGTTCAGATCCAGAGACAGAAGGTTGAAGGGGGTGCGGAAGCTGGGGAGGGGGTGGGAGTTAGTGTTTGATGAAGACAGAGGTTTAGTCTTGCAAGATGGGGACGCTCTGGAGGTGGGTGGCAGTGGCAGCCGCAGAGCACTGAGTGTGCTTAGTGCCCTGAACTGCACACCTAGAAACGGTTAGGATGGAACCTTTCATGTGCATTTTACCAGAGAAAAATGAGAGAATCCACACAAGTGGCCGGGTAGGGCATCAGACCCATTGCTCTTAGACAGGCCTTCTGGTTCCCTCATAACCCTTCTTCGGGGACAGGGCGCAGTTCTTCTGCGGACATCCCGGTGTTTAGTCTGCTAAAGGGACCAGTCACCACAGGCATGGCTGGTGAGGTCCCAGGAAGCCACAGACAGCTGGCCAGGCCCCTGAAGGCACGCTAGCATGTGGGACGTGTTGAGTTTCCCTAGCCAGCTGGATGTCCATGTGGAGAGGGCAAGAGGTCAACAGGCCCTGAGTCCAGGAGGTCCAGGGACAACATTATCCGAGCTCACAGACTGGATGGTCTCCAAGGCCACTCAGCCTGCTTCAGGGCATGAGTAGTGGTCACTGTGCCAGAGGAGGTTGGCGAGGGCTGCACTCCGAACTGCTCAGCAGCCCTGGGTAAAGTCGGAAGTGCACGGCTGAGCATATCTGGGCGGGGGACGAAGGAGGGCAAGGCCGCTGTGAGGTGTCACGGGTCCTGTGGCCTCAGACCCTGGATTCCAAGTGCCTCTTTGCTGCACGTTACACAACATTATGCTCAGTGGTAGAACACTGGCCTAGCATGTGTGAGGCCCTGGGTTTAATCCCCAGCACCTCAAAAACAAGCAAGCAGAGGAAAAAAATCATACTAGGCAGAGAATGAAAAACAGAATTTTAAAGATGTCTGCGATGTCTGTGGATGTGAACTGGATGTCTGTGCCCCCCAGGGTGGGCCGACGTCCTCGGCCGTAAGAGGCCAGGGAAAGTGGCCTTTGGGAGTGGATGGGGTCAGCGCCCATAAGAAAGAGGCCCCAGAGAGCTGTCCGCAGCCTTCCCTACCAGTGGGCACAGCGAGATGCCTCCGCCGTGAACAGGAAACAGCTCTCACCTGACACGTACTCTGCCAGCCTGGACCTTGGTCCTCTGACCTCCAGAACCGAGAAAAACACTCATGTTGCTTAGGCAGCTTTGGAGGGCTGTGAACATGTGTTCACATCTCCAGGGTCATCTCTAGAGGATGAAAGAATAAATTCCAAGCCATGCAGGGGCTGTAGAGATGAGTCAGTGAGGGCTGCGGAGCAGGGCAGGGGTTGAACCACAGACCTGCTGTCCTAAGGATGTGGGAGGCTGGAAGTCAGCCAGGGTCTGCGGGGCAGGCTCACCTCGGGAGGCAGGGGGAACCCGCTGCACCCTCCCCTGTGTCCTCTCGTTGTCTCCTGCATGGATCTGTCCCAGCTTCCCCTTTTTGTGAGGACTGCTCTCATCCCCCAGACCTGTCAGAGAACTGCTAGAAAGAACTCCTTCACCAAGTCAGGTCACCGCTGGTGTGTGGGTGGTCAGGACCCCAACGTGTCTTTTCAGCCTAAACCAGAAAACAAAAGGGGGACACAGAGAAATGTGCCATGCCTAGAAATAGTTGGCTGAAGCAAGAGGACTGCAAGTTCAAGTCCAGCTGGGCAACTTAGAGACTTAGTGATGGCCTGTTTGAAAACAAAAATAAATAAAAGCACTGGGGATGTGAAGGCCCTGGGTTCCCCCTCAGGTCCGAGGTCGGGGAGCAAAGTACAAACAAACAGAAAGGATTCAAATAAATTCAAAATGAAAGCCCAGAAAACAATACGCCAAACAGTAGTCAAAAGGTAGCTGATTATCATTAGAGGTCAGTAGCAGAGACACTTCTCCCCAGCAGCGCGATAGGGAACGGCACTGGTGGCTGCAGCGAATGACTGCACACGGAGAGGCTTCGACCGCTCAGGTGTGACCAGGTCTCTCAGGGTACCCGAAGTCGGCAGGGGGTGGACGGGCAGCCCCACCCTGTGGGAGGGAAGGGAGCTGGCAGGATCCCGCCCCCAGGAAACACGTCCACCCTGGCAGATGTACATGCCTCTTGTCTGGCCATTTTCCACTCTTGCCTCCTGATCATTGCTGTGGTGCAGGGAATCCTGGGAACTTGTCTCGAGTCAGCTCCTCAGTGGGTACGGGGGTCTGATTCCTCCCCGCCCACCTGCCAGAGGCCACCTGCGGTCCTTGGCCAGTGGCCTCCTCCACCTTTAGAGTGCTGGTGCCAGTCCACTGCCCCCTCAGAACGCATCACCCTGCCCTTTTCCTTCCTCCTCTCTGACATTTAAGGACCTTGCGATGTGTGGGGCTGAATGGCCAGGCTGCTCGCTCGTCTGTACGATCAGCTGGTTGCCAGTCTCCATACCCCTCTGCCGCATAGCCCAGCACTCACAAGTTCCAGGGATGGGGACCCCAGCCCCTTTGACAGCAGGTCGTTCTCCTGCCTACCTCAGAGATAAAGGTCCCTGTGACACCGTGACATGCAGGGGATGAAAGTCTCAGCCCACCAGCACGGGAGAAACACCTTCAGCGCCTCTGTGTCAGTCAACATTAGCTTCAGCTACACGAAACACAGAGCTACAGAGCTACAGAGAGGTGGACACAGCCCCTTTACGACAGGCAGTGTCTTGTCTTCTCGGTAGTTGAGTGCTCAAGTTGGCAAAGCAGTGGGAGAACTACGGGTGAGGACAGGATGAGCACAGCAGGGCTTGAGCAGGTGGGGTGGGGTCAAAGCTGGACGGTTCTGGAAAAGGGCAGCAAAGAGTGCCCAACTCCGACACTGTTGCTCAGCTTAGAGACCCACGGACCTCAATGAGTTGCAAAGTCTCAGTTCTCCCCGGTCTGGGTTCTTGTCCATGATGCTGGCATGCTGGACATACAGGAGCTAAGGACATACAGTTTTAGAAATCCATCTGTGGACCAGGCGTGGTGGCACACACCTACAATCCCAGCACTCAGGAGGATTGCCTTGAGTTTTTTTTTTTTTGGTCTTTTTGAGACAGGGTCCCATTATGCAGTCAGGTTGACCTTGAGCTCACTTTGCAGCCCAGGCTGGTCTCAAACTCAAAACGATTGTCCTGCCTCAGCCTCCCTAGTGCTGGGATTACAGGTGTGCGCCACCATGCCTGGCTTGCCTTGCCTTGAGTTCAAGGCCAACCTGGAAACACAGTGAGTCCAAGCCAGCCTAAACTACGTTGGGAGACTCTGCCTCAAAAAAAAAAAAAAAAAGCTGGGCGTGGTGTCACATGCCTCTAATCCCAGCACTCAGGAGCCTGAGGCAGGAGGATCACTGCAAGCTCGAGGCCAGCCTGGGCTACAAAGTGAGTTTAAGGCCAGCCTGAATTGCATAATGAGACGCTATCTCAAAAAAAATCCATGCAGAGGGGTGACACATGCCTATAATCCCAGCCTTCTGGGAAGCATAGGTAGGAGGATCACAAGTTCAAGTCCAGCCTAGGCAATTTGCCAGTTTATCAAGATCAAGTGAAAATAATAAATACCAAAGGGTTGGGGATGTAGCACAGTGGGAAGAACCCAAGTTCAATCCTCAGTACTACGTGTGTGCACGAGTGCGCACACGCACACACACACACACACATGCAGGTCCTTCTGGACAGGCTCTGAACACTTGCATGTCTAGTCCAGAGCCCTGTGATCTTGCTCAGTTCTATAACCCCCCCGGGTTTTCCTAGGACTCTCATCCTCACTCTTCTCTTCCCTCAGAAAACACCACCCTGGTGGCGGCCCCGGACCTCGCCGGGGAGCTCTGCAACGTGTCCTTCGATGACAGCAAGGTGACACTGCTGGTGGTGTACAGTGTGGTGTGTGCGCTGGGGCTGCCAGCCAATTGCCTGACGGCCTGGCTGACGCTGCTGCAGGCCCTACAGGGCAACACACTGGCCATCTACCTGTTCTTTCTGGCACTCTGTGAGCTGTTCTACATCAGCACGCTACCGCTGTGGGTCATCTACATCCGGAACCAGCACCACTGGACCCTGGGCCCACGTGCCTGCAGAGTGACCGCCTACATCTTCTTCTGCAACATCTACGTCAGCATTCTCCTGCTCTGCTGCATCTCCTGCGACCGCTTCGCAGCAGTGGTGTACGCGCTGGAAAGCCGGGGCCGCCGCCACCAGAAGACCGCTGTGCTCATCTCAGTGAGCATCTTTGTCCTGGTCGGGCTCGTGTACTCCCCGGTGTTCCGCATGGAGGTGGTGAAGGGAACCTGCTTTGAGCCCCTGCGGATGAACACCAGCATCGCTGGCTACCACTACGCACGCTTTGCCGTGGGCTTCGCGCTTCCTCTCGGCATCATTGCCTTCACCAACCACCGCATGTTCCGTAGCATCAAGCTGAGCGGGGGCCTGACCACTGCCCAGAAGGCCAAGGTGAAGCACTCAGCCATCGCGGTCGTCCTCATCTTCCTGGTCTGCTTTGCCCCGTATCACGTGGTGCTTCTCATCAAAGCCGCTGCCTTCTCCTACTACAGAGGGGACAGGGACGCCGTTTGTGCCTTCGAAGCCAGTGTGTACACGGCCTCCGTGGTATTTCTGTGCCTGTCCACGGTCAACAGCGTGGCTGACCCCATCATCTATGTGCTGGTCACAGACAACTCCCGGCAAGAGGTGGCCAGAATCCACCAGGGCTGGAAAAAGTGGTCCACGAAGATAGAGGACCCCAGGCTCACACAGTGGAAGGAGTCGGAAGAGATGGGCTCGCCCACGGCACTCACCCACAACTACACATTCCCCGCACCTGGCAACCCCCCAGGGCCACAGCCAGCTGAGTGGGGCTCCCTGTATACCCTGGAAGTCCCGACCGAGGAGCTGTGACAGGCAGGGGGCCTCTTTATCTGCCACACGTCCTGGCTGGCTTCCTTGGCTGCCCTCAGCAGCAGGCTGCCGGCAGAGCTTGGTTGATGACTTCATTTTCTGTGCTTTTTGGCAAGAGTTGCTGGGTGTTTGCTGCTATGTGTCCTGGGGCTTCCACAGTTCTGTCTCAGAGGAATATGAGGGTCAAGGTCACTGTCCCAGTGCCTGGGCACCGCCAGGAGCTACAGGGGTGGGGTGGTGGCGGGGCTGGGGTACAGTGGTGGCTGCTCCCACCCCCTGCAGGGTGACTGCCCTCTTCTATTAGTCCGAAGTGTTGATCACCCCAGGAGGCTGTGACAGGCTGCTGGCCTCCCAGAGGCAGGGGAGTACAGGGCCACCCCAATATCTGCCTCATTGCTGCAGGGAACTTGGGCTAGGTCTCCGGACAGATGGTGAACCTAGGAGCAAGTGACTGCACTCAGCCCCCAGTCCTGACTGAGGGTAGGCAAGAGGGAGACCTTGTGGCTCAGTGTCAGAGCCTCTCCCAGCCCCGTGAGCCTCATCAAGGCCAGGTCGCCTTGGTGCCTCCGTCCTCCCATCTGGAAAATGGGGCCAAGGACACCTACCTCACTGACTCTGCCACTCCTCTCCCGGGTGCTCCTCACAGCTGGTGGGAAGCCCAGCCATGCCCAGAGTGCGGCCTGGGAAAGCCCAGTTGAGCCCTCAGGTCTGTCAGGCAGCTGTGGTCTGCCACTCTTCATCATTATAGGTGTCAAAAAAAAATACATATATATACTCACACACATATATATAGGGAAAGTAAAAGCACAAGTGTGCGTGTGACCCACCTTCTTTCACAGCTTAGTACTACAGTCCTGGCTCACAGGTAGGTGTTTTCCCAGGGCCCTCAGGTCTCCCCTGAGAGGGGAGGTGAGCTGTGGGTGTCACAGGCCAGGAGGAGTGGAGGCCGGGCCAGGGGCCTTCTGGACTGTGCTGAGGAGGGAAAGAGGAGGGCCAGGGATCCCCTCTCTCTGAGGTAGACACACTGGGGCTCCAGTGACTAAGGCCACAAACTGGTAATTAGGGGAAAAAAACAACCTTCGCCTCTCCCACACTCCTGAGGCCTGAAGCCCCAGATGGGTGGGCAGGGCCAGCCCCAGGACTCAGGACAGGGTCCTCCTGCCTCTCCCAGCTTGGCGGCACCAGGCGCTCTGTGGCTTGGGGACACTGACCTCACTAGGTCTCATATAGGGCCTTCCTCTTCTGCCTTAGGCTGATATGCTAGGCCCAGTGGTCCAGTGGTCCCTGGGAAGCCCTCTGTGCAGGGGCCAGGAGCACTGCTGGTGGGAGGGGCTGCGTGGGTGGGCGGGGCTTGACTTAGGGTGGTCCCAGGAGGGCAGGTGCAGCTGGAGGTGAGGCCCCAAAGCCTTCCCCTGGGCGAAATCAGATAGGCCCAGGACCCCACGCGTGCAGGGCTGGGAGGGTAGGAGGTAGAAGCCATGGACCTGGGGCCAGTGTTCCCTGACAGCCCCACAATCTCAGTCCGCCTGCAGCCTGAGGCCCTCACATGGCCCTGGGCCACCCTGGGTCTGCCCCTTCTCTCCTTATGACGGGGAGGGGTCTCCCAATTGGGAGGGCTATGGGACTAGGAGACCCTCTGGGTCCCCCTCCCTCAGGGCCAGCGCCTTCCCACCATACACATGGGGACCAGAAGCTACATATGGGGGGGGCTAGATATGGGGAACTTCAACGTTTATCCCATTTAAATTATGAAGCACTTGTTCTGTTGAAGAAAAATAACAAAATATTCCAGAAAACATCTGCACAGCGGTGAAACTTGGTAGCCAGGAACCAGAAAGCCAGGTCCCAGCTGCCGAGACGGGAGGCTGTTCCCCAGGGCGCAGAGGGGGCATGGGTGCACGAGCTCCTCTACCCACTGGTTTCCTGGCCTGAGGGCGCCACCCTGTGCCAGGGATGTCTGGGGTGTCTGGCTCAGGTGTGTGGTGGTGACCCAGCTGCTTGGTCACTGCAGGCAGAGGAGGCGCAAATTCCACTTGTTCACGGCGGGCTGCCAGCGGGCAGCAGCGCAGCCCTTTCCTCCTGTGCTGGGCTCTGTCCAGGCCGTGCAGGCATTGCTTCCAGGTGTGGGGCTGCAAGGACACTCAGCTTCAGAGACCAGAAAAGTCACCAGGCCGAAGGAGGGAGAGAGGCCACAGCAAAGGCCAAAGGAGGCTGCGGGGCTCAGCAGAGCCACCTGGCGGCTGCTGCCGTGGGGGCCTTGGGGCTCAGGAGTGCAGATGTGGGGCCACGTGAAATTAGAAAAACTGACACTCAGGGAGACCTAGGGGACCTGGGCAGCACTGCAGAACACGAGGAGAGCCCTGTGCAGATCCACAGCCGGGCAGGAAGGTCTTTTAGCAGAGTGAACAGGGTGGGGGGTGGGCAGGACACCTCCATGCTGGCTGAGGGGCACCCAGGCCGAGACCTCCTCTAGGGTGTGTGCTGCGGAGCAAGGGCCGCCGTGGCCCAGCGCAGCTGCATCTGTCCTGCCTTTCCGGCCACACTGCTCCTTCCCACAGTGATGGTCATGGCACAGTTTTGTCATCAGTCCTGACCACAAGCCTTTCACGTTTTGCTCTGACTGGAGGAAGCTCCTCAGGTTAGTATGGGGCTGTCCAGAACTGGGCCATGGACCTGCCTTCCTTTGGCCAGTCCTTGTCCACCCACTGGGTGTCCACCCAGCTCCTTCCTCCCTCCCTCCCTTCCCCTCTCTCCCCTGCCCTCTCCCCTCCTCCCCTCCTTTCCCCACCCCTTCTTCCCTTCCCCTTACTCCTCAAGGAGAACCCACATTGGCCCAGGAGTGGGCAGGAAAGTTTTGTTGGGAATTCTCAGGTTGCATTGGCTGGAGGGCCATGGCCCCTGACAGGGACCCAGCTGCGGATGAAAGGGAACTGTATGTGACTGAGCGTGCAGAGGAAAAGCTTGCTGAGCACTGCTCACAGGCAGTGATGACCCCGGCACGTTGGTTCCGCGCAGAGGAAACAGCCTCGCTGCCTGGGTATGGCCCTGAGACCTGAGATCCCCCAGGACATGCGAGGTGCAGCGCGCTCTAAACAGGTTGTTTCCCCTCTCCACACCTGTTCGTATATGCAGTGGCCACAGTGACTGCCCCCTGGGTCTGCTGGGGGACCGAGATACTGCGTAAATCCTATGCTTAAGGCGCATAATAGGGGCTCAGCAATAAAGCAGAATGACTGTGTCAGCTGCCTCACTCGGGAGGATTGTGAGCAGATGTGAGAGTCATTCACGAGTCTCTGTCCCCAGTAACAACCCTGGAGGGCACTGGTGGCCTTTGCTTTCCCGCGTCCTTGGCCCCGTGGCCACCAGCGGGCCAGCCCTGCCACAGCAGGAGCCAGGGGCAGAGGACCCCGGAGGACCCCGGTCCCGCTCCTCCCCAGCAGCATAGCCCTCAAACCCTCCCTGGACACGTCGTGCTGTGGGCACTGCGCTGCTCTAAGTATGTGCATTCTTGGTGACTATTTAAAATTTATTTTTGACACATCAAATTGCACATACCTATGGGGTAGGCCGTGGCAGCTGGATGCATTGTGTTGGGAACCTCCGAGTACCTCTCTGGATCTGCACAGATCACCCGTAGTAGGTTTCCGCGGGCTGATGACACCTACTGTGCTGTGGAACACCAGACCTCTCCTACCATCTGACGGCACTTCTGCCCGGTTCCCAGCCTCCCTTCTCTCCATCCTACCCGGCTGGTCCTCCCTGTTCTGGTCTTCACTTCCACGAGCCCAAGATGCTGTCACCCAACTTTCTAGCTTGGAATAACTTCCAGTGGTGGTGAACAGTGCAACAAGGTCCTGGACGTTCCCTCCGCACACTTCCCAACGTGGATGGTTTGCCACAGGGGCCTCGTTGTCCCCTCCTCACGTAACTCTCCCTGTGCCTCTGAGACGCTGTAGACTTAACGCCAGGACTCCTAACCCTCACACACTTTGGAAGCAAAAAGATTCATATAATCAGTCAGGAAGCCGCCACAGATGCACGGACTGTCTGCCCCACAGAATGCCTGCCACTGTCCCTGTCTGGTGACATCCTTCCTGGGTCTTTGTACAATGTTCTCCTTCACACTGGCTTTGTTAGTTTCCTATGATTTCTGCAGAGCGGAACCTTCCAGGCCCAGGCGCCACTCTCCAGCAGCCCTGGCCATGCACAGAAGAGCTGCTCTCCATCCACTCCGTTCTGAGGCCCCGAGGAGCAGGTGGGGGCCAGGCTGGCACTTGTGGGCTCAGGCAGCATCCCACTCATGTGGACCAAGGTTTCCCTGGGGGAAGGGCTGTTATGGGCATCTCTGGGATACCTGTGCCCACCCTCAGGGCTGGACTATGCAAAGGTGAGGGCTCCGTGCCCCGGAGGAGCTGGCACCAGCAGAAAGGTTCTCAGGGCTCCTAAGGACCTTGGACAGGAAATGTGAGGCCAGCACCTGGGGGCAAGGGTCCATCCAAGCAGTGACAGCAAGGCCCACGATGGGAGCCTCACACAGAGGGGCCGGGGGTCAGGCTGAGTCCTGTGCCCCCAGCCCCAGGGAAAGGGCTGCGAGGCAGGAGGAATGAGAGGCCAGAGCCTGCACCTGGCCATTGGGCTGCCAGCCCCTCAACTCCCTCCTGGGTAGGCACAGAGGGCAGAAGAGCCAGCCTCGTGCCCAAAACCCAAGAGAGACATACACACACTTGGGCTGGGCCCTGTGAGGCTGAGAAACCAAATACCTTTGCTTTCTTTTTGAGATGAGTCTTGCTAAATTGCCCAAGCTGGTCCTGAGTACCTGGACCCAAGCAGTCTTCCTGCTCAGCCTCCCAAATAGCTGGGACTACAGATGTGTGCCACCGCACACATGTGTCTGGCACATTTTCCTCTATTAAAGATTTATCCAGATGTGGTGCTGCACACTTATAATCCCAGCACTTGGGAGGCTGAGGCTGGAGAATTACGAGTTCAAGGCCAGCTTGCTACCTGGTGAGAAAAGATGGTAGGAGGGAGGGAGGGAGGGAGGCAGGGACAGAGACAGAGATAGAGAGATGGAGAGGGAGAGAAGAAAAGGATACTTTCACTAGGTGACACATACCCAGGCAGCCTTCCAGCCTGGCCTGAGCCCTACTGGCCAGTGTACCACCTGCACATACCACTGGGGCTGTCACCTTGTGGCTCTTGCCTTACGTTTGTTCATGATATGTAACTGAAGTACACACACACAATGCTTGAAAGATGATGTACAATACAATGACAGCATCACTGTGGAAGTCACCAGGTTCCAAAGACTCCCAGAGCCTCCTCAGGGCTGTCTGCTGCCCAGCCTGAGTTTGGTACTTTGGGAACGCTTTCTCCTCCTGGAACCCAGCTTCCCTCAAAGGCACATCTGTGAGACTCAGATACCATTGCCAATGCACTGGCCTCCCACATCCATCCCCCTGCAGCTGGGCATTTGGGGTTCTTAGTCTAGGTTTTTTTTTCTGTTGCTATATCTAAATGCCACACAGTGGGTAGTTTATAAAGAACAGAAGTTACTGAGCTCAGGTCTGGAGCCTGGGAGCCTCCAAGCATGGCACTGGCTTCTGGCAAAGGCCTCCTTAGTGTCACAAACTTTGCCAAGTCCCAAGGTGGTACAGTGTCCCTGGCAGGAGCTCACCAAACTGGCTTTTCTAACAGACCTGCTCTGGCATAACTAGCCTATTTCCTTGGCAACCCCCTAACCTAGACATGGACTAATCTTACTCCTGCGGGCAGAGCCCTCACTTCTCAACTCCGTGGCACCGGGGACCAAGTCCTATATTCACATCACAGCAGGGAAACCTTGAGCCACCCAGGGACAAGTGTCTTTGTGATCACATGTGTTTCTGTTGGGCAGACCCTGAAGGCAGACCTGCTGGTCTGCAAGCCCTACCACCTCCTGCTGTGACAGGAAAATGACTCCCAGCCTGATAGCTATCAGGTGTGCTCGCTGTGGTGGCACACCTGGATTCCCATCACTGGGGAGGCTGAGTGCTCTAAATTCAAGGCCAGCCTGGGCTACATAGTGAGACCCTGTCTCAACAAAAAAAGAATAGAAAAATGCCAGACGTCAGGTGTGCTGAGTTCGTGTCTTCTGATACAGGAGGACGAGCAGGTTATAAGTAGGAGAGGTTTATTGGGAGAAAGCTCCTGCAAGGCAGGAGGGGTCCTGAGGGCAGGTTGTCTCAGAGGCTTAGTCCAAGGGTATTTTATACAGCAGAATCATGATGGGGTCTGAGGCTAGGCCTCAAACTACAATCAGCCTGTAGGATTACAAGCAGTCGCTCAGCTAATATTGATCCAGTGGGGAAATGAGGCCCACAGCAAGGGTACATGACAAGCATCACTAGCTTTAGTTATCTGCAACTTCTAACAGAGAGAGGATAAAGGCTTTCTTGAAAGGGATGAGTATGTGTCTGGATGTTCTGGTCGCCCACCTATGTGTCTGACGCCCTATCTGGGCCCACTGGACCAGGCGGAGCCAATTACAGCATGATCTCAAGTTCTGCTTACCTCCGTGGAGGCCTGTGCCTGGCTACAGAGCCTCCATCTGGAGGCCGGCCCTCTTCAGATCTGGCCCCAGGCACAGCTGTGATCTGTCTCATCCCCTGCACTGACTCCCTGGAGGGCCTATCCCTCCCTATTAATATCTGTCCAGTTTAGCTCCCTAGACCACTGCCTTGTGCTTCTCCTAAGGGGTTATCTTAGCTAGTCTTGTCTTTTTTTTTTTTTTTTTTGAGGTGGGGTCGCAGTATGCAGGTCAGGTTGGCTTCCTGAATGCTGGGCTTACAGGTATGCGCCACCAGGCCTGGCCTGGTTTGGTACTTATATAAGAAATATAACTGATTTTCCTGTAGTATTGATTGCGTATCTGATGATCATGCCAAATTCTTCATTAATTTGAACAGCTTACCTGGAAATTCTTTTGGGCTTCCTACAATCAAATCTTATCCTCTGAGATTAATGCTGCTTTCAATTCTTTTCCAATCTGTACACTCTTTTCTCTCACTTTCTAGCACAAGCGAGGCCGGGCAATGGGGTGTGGAGGGGATCATGGTCTCATTCCTCCTCTTATTTTCACCATTTCCCTACTCAGTAGAGCATTTCCTCTACGCTTTTTGTAAACACGGTATTCAGATGGTGTCCTTTGTGCAGTAAAGAATTTAACTTTGCCCAAGAGAGGCCAAGTGTTCGCTCTCAGGCCCTAAGTGACCAAGTGTCTCCATCTGGGAACCTGAATCCACAACAGATGAGGTGACATGCGTGGGGCAGGGGAAGCTTTGGGTCATGCACCCTCAGCTTGACCTCTAGAAGGGCTAGAGACTGGGGTCAGTCTGCATGGAGTCTCCTTTGGTGAAACTCTGCCAGAAAAGGACCACTGGAAGCTCTCTGGAGTCTCTTAGGCCCTGCTCCTTATGCCTCTCCCTCGTCTGGTTTGTTTTTGTTGAAATGGGTCTACCTAGCCCAGGCTGGCCTCAAACTTGAGGGGATCCTTTTGCTTCAGCCTCTGAGGGCTGGGTTGACAGGCATGTGCCACCCAGCAGGATGTTGAATCTTGTTTTTTGAGACAGAGTCTATGTAGTTCAGGCTGGCCTTGAACTCACAGTGAACCTCCTGTCCCAGCTTCCTGTAACACTACACCTAGCAGGATGTTGAATCTTAGCTGCTTTTTCTACACCTACTGAGATTCTTAGTTTTTTGGCTGTAATAAAGTATGTTGATTTTGGAATGCTAAAGCAACCTGGCATTCCTGGAGGAAGCCCAGCTTGGATGTGATGAGACAGCTCTTCTATGCTACCTACACTGGATCTAATTTACTAATCTTTGGTGTAGAATCTTAAAGTACTGTATGCTCATACGAAAACGCTTCCCATGCTTCAGTGTCAAGGTTATGCTGACTCTAAAGCTGGAAGAGCTGGAGACTTGTGGCTTGGGCAGTGGTATGCACCTGAGCAACACCGTAACCTAACCCTAAAGAAGCTGTGCAGGATTGATGCTAGTACTCTGCTTATCTTTTCTATGTATTCTTATGACAACTCCAATATCAGCAATCCATGGATCTATTTCTGTAATACGGGGCTATCTTATTTTTCTGCCTGTTTTGAGGCACGCCCTATCACGCCCGTTAATTATAGTACTGAATGGTGGACACGTGGAACGGTGCAACACAGCAGCAGACATCATAGTAAAGATTCTACTGTCAGTCTGGCAGGTGGAGAGTGGCATCTGACACAGGTCTAATATGTGACTTACTCTTGGCAGGCTCAGCATCCTGTTATCTGCTCAAGTGTCTGAAATTTCTTTGCCCACTTTTGGATCTTGTTTTAATGTGCAGGACTCTGTGTATTAAAGAATTAAGACTCTTCTGTGGGGGCCGTACCTAGGAAACATTTCTTTCCGTTAGTGTTTCAACCTGGTGTTTGGTATGCACGCGTTTAGTCAAGTCATACTTATCGGCCTCAATATTTTTTTGGGGAGCAGGTACCGGGAATCGAACTCAGGACCTTGCGCTTGCCAGGCAGTCCCTTATGCCACTGAGCTGTATCCCAGGCCCCTCAGTGTCTTCTGCGTGAAGTATGGCAGCAAATCTAATCAGTTTTTCCCTTTTTGTCTACGTTCCACCCCAGGTACTGGGGATCAAACCCAGAGTCTTCGGCTGAGCTACATTCACAGTTCTTTCCTTATTTTGAAGACACAGTCTCATTAAGTCTCTAGTTGCGCAGGGTTGACTGAAACGCGCTATCTCCTGCCTCAGCCTCCCTAGCGCTGGGATCACCAGGCGCGCGGCACCATCCCCGCTCCTACCCTGTCCCTCAAGACTTGCCAATAGCGATTCTTTGTAGGAATAATTCAGAAAGCTCTGCAGAGCTCTGCATCAGGCTCAGCGGAAAGCCAAGTCCCTCCCACATTCGCACTGTCCTGGAGACGGCGGGTCCTCGCGCCAGCGCTGCGCGCCCCGATGCCAACGGGGATCCGACCGCGCCCGCTACGCTGGCGCTCCAGCCTCGTTCCGGTCGCCATCGCGCTCTTCCTTCCCGGCTCCCTTCCTCCCAAGCGAACCTAGCAACCGTGACGCTACACCCGCAGCGGCCCCACGCCCCGCCCAGCAGCGCACAGGATGGGAGGGGGAGGCCTGGCGGCCGCGGGGCGAGGCGGGGCCTGACGCGAGGAGACCTGGGAGTGGAGGAACCGGCCCCGCGCAAGGAAACCTGGGAGGGGCAGGGCCGGGCGCAGGGATACCCAGGAGCCGGCGGAGCCGCGCGCAAGGCGACTCGGGAGCCAACAGGGCGGGGCGGCGCGCAAAGAGACGTGGAAGCGCTGGAGCTCAACGGCCGGCGCCGCCGCGCGGGAACGCTGGTGGCCGAGGCCCCGCCCCGGCGGGTTTGAACCGAGCCCCGCCCCACGCTCGGCCAATCGGCAGGCGCGCGGCTGCGCCGAGGCGGCTCTTTGTGGGTGCCGACCGACTCCACGGC